TTCGCAGACAGAGATATACAATGAGAAATATAATACATTTTATGAAAACGCTTGTAATTGCTCACAAATAAAGTCATCAGCCTCACTAAATTGTATTATCTCCATCCAATTTCATGTCCTCAAGTGAAATGAACAAAAAATACTTGATTAGATTGCTACTCTGCTTTCATAGCACCCACCAATATGGGTTTTTTGAAGTATTTTGGTTTTATATGAGCCAACAAATCAGCAGCACCTAGAATTATGTCTGTAAGCCTCATAGTGTAGGAAGTGGGCAAAAACATAAAATACTATGCTGTAGCGCCCCCTTCAGGCCAATCCAGCTCATCTTCTGTGACCAATTTTCATGTCTGTAGGCCTTACAGTTTGGTCTGCACACTTGGTTTTAAGAAAAGAAAAATAATTTATACAAATCTGAGCAAAAGCAATAGGAATTCAGCACTTTCAGTGCTTGGACCACTAATAATAGTGCTTTACACTGTGGGTTTGTTATTGTGGGTAATAACTGAGACTGTTAAAGGTAAGTGAGCTATTGTGCATATTTCCTTCAAAATCTGTTACCTGAGCTTTTCCATATCGGCTCCTGGGACTTTGAGGATATTTTTGGACAAGTGCTTCAAAAGCACGCAAGGCTTCCTCAACTTTCCCCTAAAGAATCAAGCCAAATACAATTAAAGTATGTTAAAGTACATTTCCCACATGAAGGTAATTATAATGCCCTGGTTAACTAACAAAAAAACAGGCACAGTGCCAACCTTCTTCCGTAGTTTCTCAGCTGCGTTGATTTCAGCTTTGATTGTTTTGTCAAATTTATTGAAGAATTTTGGCTTTTTCTTCTTGGCTGTGGAAAGTCAACACACAAATACAAAGAATTCAGTTAACCTAGAGAGTCAGACTGGTAAAAGCTGCTACTAGACTTTTGAACAGCACTGGAGCACTTTGAACCCACCCTCTGTTTCTGTGGTAACCTCTGGAGTAGATTCATGCCCAGGTGAAGACTCTGGTGTTGGCTCTGAGGAATCTTGAGGTGCAGATGTTTGAGATGTAGTCTCTGGAGCAGTCTGAGTTAGAGGTACAGACTCTGCTGTAGGTTCAGGCTCTGGTTTCTCCTCTGGTGGAGCTTTACTTTCAGGTGTAACTTCTGCTTTAGAATCTTAAGAATAAGAGGTTTGTAATGCAAGAATGAATTAACACTTTTTTAAAACTAATTGAGCACCAGTGTACACCTTGGCAGATCATCTAAACTAACTCTAAAGCACAAATTAAAGGTTAAAACATGAGAAAATGCCCTATGAGTAACTTAACAATTAAAGGAAGCCCAAAAGGGTGTGCACAAGTGTACATACTAATTTCTTCAAGTTGTACTGGGATTGACTCTTCCCCTTGGTATCTTTCTGTAGCAGACAGTTCTAGAAAAAAAGCAAGAACACAAAGTTTGCAAGCATGACATGTCACTGGTGTTGGCATAAGCATTTAACCTTGGAAAAACTAGTCTATCAATAAAATCCAACATTACCTAGAGTTTTCTCAGATAAGGCCTCTACAACTAACTCTGAACACACAAAGCAAATATAACATTAATACAGATTTTTTTTGTTGATTTTTGATTTAAACATCAATTAATTTTATAAAAAGGTACAATTAACAAAAAGGCTTGTTCTACAAAAAAAGTCAAAGAAAACTTGCCTCCAGTGCTGTCAATGTTTTCATATGAGTCTACGAACAGAAAATGGAAAGTGTAATAGTTGGAGAGAGGACATTTTAAAGGCAGATTTTGCTGATCTCACTACATATTTAATACTATGACAGCTAGCACTTACATTTTACCACTATTTATGTTGGATAATATCATAACTGATAATATAGCACTATGTAAATATTTTGGGCTAATCAATAGAAGCAGCTCTGAAATTAATTGCTTAAACAAGGGAAGTGTAAAAAGCTAATAATTACTGACCAAAAGAGTGAAAATCTGATGCTCTGGCAGGCTTGTCTGTAAATACACAGCAGAAATGTATTATTGTGACCTTTGTTTTTAATTATAATAAAGTTGATGAAGGCAAAAAATAAGGGAAATAAGGAAAACCATTTCAATGAGTAATCTTTGATAATTAAATTTAAAGAATTTTGCCAAATGTATGAGTGAAGGTAAAGTTAAACTGGTAACATGCCTTCATGAACAGAAGTAACAGGGACAGACTCAGGCCCTTCATCTCTCACTTCACTTTCAGTTTCTCTTTGGCTCTTTCCTGCAAGAACCTCCTCAGTCTTTTGATTGACTGAAGTATCTGAAACCAGAAACAGGATAATCAGGGAATTCTTAATGATGCAAAATAATAATTAATAGGTTCAAAATGTCTGAACTTCTTCTGTAATCCATGGAAACATCTTCTGTAAAGTTGCTTTGTGACAATGCCTTTTTGAAAAAGTAACATAGCTAAAATGGAAATGCACTGAATTTCAAGTTAATTCTTATCTGTCATCTTACCTCTGCTTCTTGTATTTCATTGAGTAAATGGTTGATATATTTTTTGTTTCCAAGGCTTGCAGGTAGATAGATAGATAGACAGATAGATAGATAGATTTTTGGTGCAGGGAACACATGAAACTGCACAGTTTTGTGCACACTTCCCTATTCATGTATAGCATACGTATTCATACTACATTTTAAAATATTTACTGTTTATATAAAATAACATATGCAGTCATATGCTAAAGTTTTGGCGCCCCTAGTCAAATTGCATGTTTTGTTGATTTTTTTAAGTGAACGTAAGTTAACAAATCCTCTACAGAGAACACAGTTCTGCATATTTTTAATACAGAATTACTATTTGCTAAAAATTGAAAATATAAAATGTGCCAGAACTTTTGCACAGTTTACGTTTTTCACTATATGCAATTCAGCAAATAAACAAAATGTATGCACTAAAATCAATCTACAGAAAAATACCATATTTAAGTGTGCTCCATGTAGAAGATGTGTTAACTTGTTTTTACACAGAAAATCAACAAAACGTGTAATTTGACCGGGGTGCCCAAACTTTTGCATACGACTGTGTGATTAGAAAGCCTGACTTAAAACCCAGGTTGCTTTCTGTGTCCTCTGAATTAGTTCCACAGTTGACTGAGGTTATATATATATTGTATTGTGGCTGGGGCCTTACCTGCTCTTGTGTAAGGTGCCTTCCTTGTTTCCACTGTGACAGTTTTCTCCTTTAACCCTGTTTGTTGTTTGTAAGGAAATAAGAAACTAAACCTTACCTAATCATTCATATAACAGTCACTCACTCAGAAAGAAAGAAAAAATGACCCCTCCATCCTCCACTCACAAATGTGCTCTTTCATTGTAACTTCTGCAAGGCTGGACAAGCTTTACAGAATGTTGGGAAAAATTGAATTAAACCTAATGAGAAACTGCAGCAAACAGCTACACCTAGATTAGAAGTGTGTTATTCATCCCAAATTATATTTATTTTGAACAGTCACACTGTTAAGAGAGAGTGGATATATATATTTTTTGTTATGTAGTCAAGCTAATGTGAGCAAATTTGTCATTCATAATTTCAAATCTACTTACTTTTCAGTTAGCTACAACAACAGCTCAGTAGTATAAATTCAGTAGCCCTTATTCATTAAAGTTGCGTACAGTCAAATCTGATCGTAAAATGAGCGCAAGCCAAACAGTGAAATTCATAAGTTTAATCTTCAGTGTATCTGTATGATCAAACTCACGTCTGGTGGGAGTGTATCCAAATTTGAGCATTATCATTTAAGAACCCGAAAAAATGTTTAATTTAACTAATTTAATTAGTCTAAAGTTAACTAGCCACAATTATCATCAATATCATCTATAATCCCAATAATAAGAATAAAAATAGAAAATAACAGCAATACTAATCATTTATGCGCATGGCAATCCAGTAGAAAACTGGATGTACTTATTTTACATGCATACTGACATAAACAAAACACCACTTTCCATTTAAAGTCATATTACTCTGCACTTTTGTTTTATTCTACTGTCACTGCCCAAAAATATACAATACAAAACACAGCTAGTGCAGATGCATCTCATACAACATAATAATACAGAGTTGAAATGTTTTTAGGAAAGTAATCACACTACACCCCATGTGTTAAACACAAGGCCCGCGGGCCAAGTCAGGCCTATGGCACAATCCTGTTCGGCCTGCAGAATTATTTTAATTTTCTGTTACTATTAGCCCATTTTACCATGAGCTGCACTACAGTTCCCAGCATGCACTGCAACATAATGTGTGCTCCCACTACCTCCCCAACAACGATCTATGGGACAGCACCACAAAAACAAAACAAAACAAAAAAGATCCCAGGTGTCTAGTTCAAGTGAATGGGCAGTTTTTAAAAATATTTAAAGAGGTTTAACAGTTATCTGCAGCTAATGTAGTCTACTGTTTTATATAAAACAATTTGTTTTTATTTAAAATTATTTTTGAATCATTCAAGTATTCAGTACTTATCTGCATGAATTAGGGCTTCATGTAAATTATATGCAAATGAGGATTTGGTTAGTTAACTAGAGCTTGATTTCATGCACTGAGGTTAATTAATCATGTGCGCTCAAATCTCCACTTGTTTCCATGTCACACAAAATTTTCATGGATCAGACGCAGAATTCTTCATACATCATTAAAGGTCAAATCTGCACTTTTTTTTTTTTTATACAACTTGATGAATAAGGGCCAACATTCTCAATATATTATCACTACAGTTGCTACTAAAGCATACTAATACTAATGCATTTGTGGGCAGAGCATGCTTAGGTCAATCAGATATTCACAACCAGCCAATCACAGAAACAAAACATGTAGACTTACAGATACACAGACACATACAAACTGGATAAAAGCTGCATGACTGACTAGGGTTCTTCACAGTGCTTGACCCAAAGCCCATATACTATTCGTGTCATCATTAGCACACTCTCACACCCACTTGCACACACAGAGTCTGGGCAATTATCAAGTTGCTAAAAATATATTTTAATAAGGAAAGATTACATTTATTAGAAACAACTACATTATCTTCACTTTTGACCAAATATACTACTCTACTCACATTCTGTTTTCTGAAAACATGTTGGCTACAGTTTTCTTCAAGTAATTCACATACAAACTAAGGTCTGACGAATAAGAACATTTTGTAACCGATACCAATTTTAAAAAGCTAAAATTTCTGATAGCCGATAATAACATGTACCATGTTATTATGATTAAAACTAAACTCTCCTTTTAGCTATCTGATTGTCCGCTGTCAACTGTGGATTGTCAGATATCAGTTCTCAACTGCCAAATTTCTTAAACTCACAAACTCTTAAATCATTTAAATATTGTAATGTGAGGGCACATCTGTAATCTGCAGGACATTAACAGCCAATCAACATATCAGCCCGGCCCTGGTACAAACAATAGTTTACATAAACATTAGACTCAAAATCAGCAGTCTCAAAAAACACAATTTTGATAGTACATTAAGGTAAATTTATCAAATACCAAAACTATATGGAGTACTGTACAAAAGTCAGAGAGCACCCTTTTAGTCAGTCATTTCTCAGTGTTGGCAAAGAAGCAAAAAACATATATTTAACAGAAAATTACACATCTAAATATAACATCAATTCTTCAATAATTTTACATATGCCTCTTTCACAGTACATACCTTCTACATTTGCATTCTCTCCACAAACTCTGTATATATGTATATAATATTTATACTTGCAATATCTATATTATTTACCACTCTACCATCCTTAATCGTACATATTTTAACCACAGCATTGCTCACCATGGTTACTTTCCTGCACTTTATATATAAATAATACTGTATTTTGCAGTTCTAATTAGATGCTAACTGGATTTCATTGGCTCTGTACCTGTATCTGCACAATGACAAAGTTGAATCTAAACTAATGTAATCTAATAATGAACGTGTTCACCCTTTGCCTTTCCTACAGTGTCCATCCTTTTCAGGAGACTTGCTTTCAGCTGTTTAAGGAATTCTGCATTTTTCCATACCTTCAAAGTTCAGTCTTAGAAGTTGGTTGCATTTTCTGCTTTTTAGAATCCAAGTAAACCCAAACATCTTCAATGATGTTGAAATTTTAACACCAGCAGCTTTTTTGTTTGATTTTCTTTTCTATTTACTCTCCTCACTAACAACTTCTTGACAGCTACACATCCTTTCAGACCCATAGCAGTTAACTGTCTTCTCACAGTGCAAGGATGGACAGAAGGATGGACTTTTTCAGGTCTGAAGAGTGGAGCTTGATTTTCTCCTCTCTCTCAGGGAGGAAAGCTTTAAGTGCTGTTTATCTGATGGTCTACCAGAACTCCAGTTTTACAAACTCCTGTTTTTTTTTTTTGTTTTTTTTTAAACTTATTTCTTTTAACTTTTCCTTTCCTGATGAAAGTAGATTATCTTGCATATAATATCCGAAAAAATATCTCCTAGAAAATAAACGTGTACTTAATGGTCATTTTGATGGACATTAATTAAATGAAGGTTGTCCTCTGACTTTTGCTCTGTAATATATATACATAAACTGGAAAGGACTGAAAATTTAAACAATAATGCCAGTATTTTTAGCTAAATGTGCATTTTTCACCATAATAGCACACTGTTTCAGTACGATAATCTCGTAAAATAACCTGAAATGGCAAGAGATCACATAAATAAATGTCTGTTGGTAACTTGCATTTACAACCATGTCTTGTAAGCTCCTATTCTAGACTACAAAATACTAAATATAATACATGCAGTCTTAGTCATCAAGTGTCCATTACAGCAAAAAATATCCATTTAGTTCAATCAAGACAAACATCAGAAAATGTAAGAAGAAACTCAGAAAATACACTTAATAATTTAACCAAACAAAAGAAATTTAGTTGAAAATTAAAAAAAAAAAAATAACCACCTCAGTAGGTTCACTGTGAGAACAAAAAGTGATTCAGTAAAACAACTATCTAATAAACTTAACTAACATTTCACTTCTCATTAATATTCACTTTTAAAGGAACATTTAAATTCTAAAAAGTCTCATCTGCACAGTGTCTGTTTCAAAATCCTTTCTAAACCCCTTTTTACTGATAGGCTCAGTTGGGTATTATTTAAAAGGCATCACTTTCTGCTGTGTGAAAATGAATCAATGAATCACTTAATTTGAAAGAACATAATTAACATAATTGACATCAATGGACATCAGTGACATGATTTCTTGAAGGCTGAAACATCAAGCACTTCATAACAACAGTAAACCAAAAGATATCTCTATTAATATATATTATATATGCTTAATATTATCAAAAAAGTTGGTAAGAACCTTACAACCGCCCTGAAAGCTCTACTACCAAGGTCACTGTACTCCAACCAAACCAGGCTATGAGAACGCTGACACCAGCTCAAGCCTTCACCCAAGACCTGAACACAACTGTGACAAAACACACTGTATTTTACAGGATGTATTTTTCAAGATGTTGTTGATCTTATCATGTCTTTAGGTTACCATATGAAAATTCACCTAAATTTGGTCTGTGTGTCTTACGTCTCAGTAGGTTTAAACCAGGCCTGTTTAAAACCTTTTTGCTTTAATTTAAACAGGTTATATCAAACCTTACACAGCTTTATAATATCCTTCATCAAGCTTTTCCAAATCCCGTCATTTCCTGTTTTTCCTGATTGAAGATTTCAGGAGACCCCTTGTATTTACTTTCTCTTCTTTTCCATTCTTTTCATCCTTCTTCTCTTTCAGTCTTTCAGTCTTCTCTTTCTCTTCTTTTTCTGCCTTCTCCTTTTCCGCTCTCTCTCTCTCTGCCTTTTCCTTGGCTAGCCTTTCCTTTTCCTTGGCCAGCTTTTCCTTTTCCGCTCTCTCTTTCTCCGCTTTTTCTTTGGCTAGCCTTTCCTTCTCCACTCTCTCTTTCTCCGCTTTTTCCTTGGCCAGCCTTTCCTTTTCCGCTCTCTCTTTCTCCGCTTTTTCCTTGGCTAGCCTTTCCTTCTCCGCTCTCTCTTTCTCCGCTTTTTCCTTGGCCAGCCTTTCCTTTTCCGCTCTCTCTTTCTCCGCTTTTTCCTTGGCTAGCCTTTCCTTTTCCGCTCTCTCTTTCTCCGCTTTTTCTTTGGCTAGCCTTTCCTTCTCCACTCTCTCTTTCTCCGCTTTTTCCTTGGCCAGCCTTTCCTTTTCCGCTCTCTCTTTCTCCGCTTTTTCTTTGGCTAGCCTTTCCTTCTCCGCTCTCTCTTTCTCCGCTTTTTCCTTGGCCAGCCTTTCCTTCTCCGCTCTCTCTTTCTCCGCTTTTTCTTTGGCTAGCCTTTCCTTTTCCGCTCTCTCTTTCTCCGCTTTTTCCTTGGCTAGCCTTTCCTTTTCCGCTCTCTCTTTCTCCGCTTTTTCTTTGGCTAGCCTTTCCTTCTCCGCTCTCTCTTTCTCTGCTTTTTCTTTGGCTAGCCTTTCCTTTTCTGCTCTCTCTTTCTCCGCTTTTTCCTTGGCTAGCCTTTCCTTCTCCGCTCTCTCTTTCTCCGCTTTTTCCTTGGCTAGCCTTTCCTTCTCCGCTCTCTCTTTCTCCGCTATTTCTTTGGCTAGCCTTTCCTTTTCCGCCTGTTCTTTGGCTAGTCTTTCCTTTTCCGCCTGTTCTTTGGCTAGCCTTTCCTTTTCCGCCTGTTCTTCGGCTAGTCTTTCCTTTTCCGCCTTTTCTTTGGCCAGCCTTTCCTTTTCCACTCTCTCTTTCTCCGCCTTTTCTTTGGCTAGCCTTTCCTTTTCCGCTCTCTCTTTCTCCGCCTTTTCTTTGGCTAGCCTTTCCTTTTCCGCTCTCTCTTTCTCTGCTTTTTCTTTTGCTAGTCCTTCTTTTTCCGCTCTCTCTTTCTCTGCCTTTTCTTTGGCTAATCTTTCCTTTTCTGCTCTCTCTCTCTCAGCCTGCTCTTTAGCTAGCCTTTCTTTTTCGGCTCTCTCTTTCTCCGCTTGTTCTTTAGCTAGTCTTTCCTTTTCAGCTTTCTCCTTTTCTTCCTGCTCTCTAGCTAACCTTTCTCTTTCTGCTCTCTCCTTCACTGCTTTTTCTTTTGCTAGCTTTTCGGCTCTTTCCTTCTCTGCTTGCTCTCTAGCCAATCTTTCTCTTTCCGCCTTTTCCTTTTCAGCTTTTTCTTTAGCCAGTCTCTCCTTTTCTGCTCTCTCTTTTTCTGCTTTTTCTCTTGCTACCCTCTCTTTTTCAGCCTTTTCCTTTTCTGCTTTCTCTCTGGCAAGTCGTTCTTGCTCAGCTTTCACTCTCGCCTCCTTCTCCCTGGCTAATCTTTCTTCGAGTTCTTTTCTCTCCTTTTCTTTACGCAGTTTAGCCTCAGCCTCTACTTGAACTTTTTTAGCAGCTAGGATGGCCTGCCTCTCCTCTTCTTCCCGAGCCAGAATGGTGCGGACCTCAGCCAGTGCTAGCTTAGCAATCTTTTTAGCCTCAATCTTCTCATGGATCATCCGAAGCTGCTCCTTCAGAGCGACCTTCAGCTTTTGTCCAATTTCTCTGGTAGAGTGCTCTAGACGAGGAAAAGTGCTCAATTTGTAAAAGCTAATTTCCTCTATCCATGCAAAAACGTAGCTCACGCTTATGACAGGAGTTAGTGCTCACACAAAGCCTCCTCAAAAACCGACACAGTCACCTCTGTGCATGTTACCGTCATTCATGTTACACCACCAAACCAGGAGCCTAAAAGTTAATCAAAACATTCTCTGTTAGTGCGAGGCCACTCAATGTTGGTCACCGACAGATCTTTATATTATGTACACTAGAGATGCATAAAATATCAGCATCAGACAGATTTGGACAATTTTTAAAACTATGCAACGTTTATATCATGCATTTACTGTATTTAGAAAAAGCAGATGTTCACGTGATGCTGAGGTACCACATTAAAATCTACATTTTATTCATCTTACTGCACTTATAACCCTCTAAAAATAAGATCTTTATTTCTCTGTAAAGCTAATCCAGGTAGATGTAGTTCCAATTTCTACACTTTATAAATGTTTAAGTATAGACATCGGAATCAACAAATGTTTACATGCAAACTACTGGATATCAGCATCAGCCCACAATTCGCTTATCGTGCATCCCTGATGTACACCTAAGTAAAACAGGTTGTGCATGAGAAGAAAAAAAATAAAAGCAGAAGATCACATTCAGGCAACTCACCTAGGACCTGACAGGTCACATCATGGATTTCCATTAAACATTTTCCAAGAATTTTTTTCAAGATTAACTTCTACTAAACTCATGCAACCATGCAAGAGCTCAAAAGTGTTCTCTGAACAGTCTGTAATCTATGAACTGTTAGAACTTTGGCCCAGCAGCTCCTGAATTGCATCATAAATTGTATATTGACTTTAAGTGCTTAGAGAATGACTGAACTGAGCTGAAATATTAACTAATTATGAATAACATTATATTTCCCTTTACATTAATAACTTTCATTTTAATAAACACCCACAACAGGTTAATTTACTTAAGGGTGTACTTTTTGTCAGACCATAAATCTTTTCATCTTTGATGGTTATCTAAACAGAAATGAAATAATTTCTGTAAACCTTTTCTTTCCTGAGTAAGGACAGTTATGTCTCATTCCTTGTTGTGGGACTAATAAAGGATTATCTTATCTTATCTTAACATATAAAATGCACATACGTACTCTGTTACCTTCATGGTTTAAACATGAGGTATTTGGCAAAAAAGTACAATATAAAGAAACAGTAAAACAGTCACACTGGTTTTCCAAAAATGATATTTATGAGAGATCTGTATCCTTTATGAGAGTTCATATATTCTTCTAATTATTGAATTTGGGGGATTATGAGTAGAAACTCTGAGAAACTCAGAGGCACCGAACAAGTAACTTCTCTTGCTGGTTATCAAAATAAATTTGGCCATGTAGATATACAAAATGTACAAAGACATCAAATTTTTGTTCCCAGAACAGATCCCACCTACCATTTACTATCGTACTAACAGCTGGTGAACTTTCGAGGACAATGGTTCTCACACAGGTCCACAGACACCCCCAGGCAGTCCACATTTTTTGCTCCATCTCTATGCATTTTGAGTTAGGTTGGAACAAAAATGTCCGTCTGGGGGTCCCTGAGGAACAGTTTGAGAACGACTGCCCTCGGATATACTGTCTGAAGCTGATTTCATCCTCATTCCCAGTTTCTGCTGCTGGTGTCTCTGACATTTTTAATACCTGGGTGAATAGCTTGATCCTGATTTCATGGTCTTTCTTGCAGCTGAATAGTTCCGATGACCAGTAAGGCCAGGATACTTGTTGGATGTTCTTATTCATAAAAAAAAAGTTTTGAAGGAAATATGATTAGTCAATTTTGAGAAAAATGTAGGGTCAAAGAGTCTCCAAACTGGATTTTCAGTTGTAAAGCCTTTCTGAACTCACTATGTAGCTTCAAATATTTCATGCAGAAAATAGTAATTAATAGGTTTTTATATAGAGATATAGCAATACTACATAAACTATACTATTATAAAACTGACTGACAGATTACATTGCAAAAGATGAAAGATTCTGCAGTCCGATATAAAAATGATGTCCTCCAATAAATTTACATGTTGTGGAAATTTATCAAAATGAAACCAGTTGATTTAAAGTGAAATATTATTCTTAGAATTGTATTTATGCTCAGATAATATTTCAGCTCAGTTTAGACATTCTGTAAACAGTTAAACTCAATATATAGTATGTGATTCAGAACCTGCTGTGGCATATTTTAATAATTAATACTTTAAAACTGTTTGGAGCACAGCTTTAAAACTTTGTATGGTTTCATGAATTAAATATGAGTTTTTGCTTAGTTATTTAATGGAAAGCTATGACATGATAAATCACTAATATCATGTTAAATGCATTAGTATGACCTTAAGATTATTACAGACATGAAATCTTGAATTCTTTTAAATCAACAATGCAGCTCCACACACAATCATCAGTACAGCTCATGCCAAGTACCTCTACTCCTTTCAGGTGCATCTTCTTTATGATTTTCAGCTGTGGTGTGAGAGGGGCAGATAACATCAGCGACCTTACTTTCATGCATAGAATAGTGTAATTAAGATTTAAAATCATGATTTTACACCTTTGATTAAAACAACAGACTAATCCAACAGACTCAGTAGTATTTCTGTAGTCTATCCACTTGTTTTTTTACAGGTTGGGGTTCCTAGTAAAATTAAATTTATCTATACATCAATACATATGTAACATATTTGGCATATGTTCTTTTTCTGCAAGTTATTTTTTCCTAATAAACAGATAATGAAGGTATGCACAAGTTTGATACAAGTGAAAATAAAGTGGTCTATACTTTCTAAAATAATGTGAATATGGCATGAGAAATGTATTGTAATTTTAGGGTTAATAAGTAGCTGTTATGTATAAGTGACTGCAATTTTCAAAATTGTGTTACATCATCTGTTGATTAGTATGCACGTAAATATGATCAGGGAACAGCAATTACTAGCCACAAGGAATTTACATTGTGTTAAACCATTTAGCATGCAAACCTGATGACAGACATTGTGCCATGCTTCCTAATTTTAGACTGGTCTTTTCTCTTATGATGGTGACTTTTATATTATAATGGTAACTCAGTTGCCTGTGAAGCCAGTCACCTAAAAAACAAATGGGTAGACATTACTTATATATATGTTTGGAGATAATGCTCAGTCAATTAATTTTCAACCCTGTTCACCCACAGGGTAATGTAAAATGTAAGACAGCACGTTAACAACTATACACAGGTGGGTAGAAAAGTCTAAACCTGTATTCAACCTCAAATGTCAGAGGTTTGTCGCAAAGCAGTAGAGATTCTAAATGTTAATGATTAAAGTATAACAGAGTAAAAAGGTAGATTACTTTCCTCACTAATATGAGTAAAAGAGGTAAAATTATCGTCATTTAAAAATAAAGAGGAAAGTAGAAATCCTTCAAACCTTTACTTGAGAATATGGAACTCAATACATAAGTAGTACCCACCTCTGCAAACATGGATGTTAGAAATGCAGTTGCCAGAAATGACAAGGCTGTAATTTTAGGGTTGTGACCAGCTCACTTTGATTGTAATCTAATCAGGGCTACTTCACATTAGACAGCTTTTCTTTATATTCTTGTAGACATGCTGTTTGAGTGGAACAGCTCCAAACTGCAAGGCAGGAGTTAAATAACTATACAGACACAAGGAAAGCCATTCAAAAACCACCCACCAACCAAAGCAAAGTTCCAGCTGTTACTGTACCATGACTACCATTACCATGCATGCTTGGAGAACTTGCTGTTTTCGTTCCAAAAAAAACAAACAAACAACAAAAAAAAAACTCACAAATATGCATAATTTATCAGTCAGGCAAATATAGGCTCAAAATAGCCACACAGCCAGGAAACAAATTCTGACAAAGAGGAACAATGATGCTGCAGTGATGCTACTGGAGACCCTTACAGATGCCAACATGAGCGCACACACAGGCGAGTCTCAGGACGTTGAACCTGCCTCACAATACATTTAATATAATAACCACAAAAAGCCAAGCAAATTACAGCAACAAGAAAGCACTGTCACTGCAGTCATGGAAATGCATCTGCACCTTTTTTACTTGCGCCTTTTTTCTTAGTGTTCACAGGAGTATCCTCTAAATTCAGAAGGAAAAGAAACATATTAGATTTGTAAACAACAAATCACACAAGGATGTACCCTCCCACACACCCACCCACTCTGACATGTGGGCATCAGCGTTTTCAGAAAACAAAAACAGTGATCAGTCAAAGGGAGCTACTTGAACAATGTTCAAACACGTGTGAACTCTTCTTGGTGAACATGCGGCAACCACATAAAATACACTACAGTGGATGAACTATACACATTCTATCACATCACACACTCTATGCGTGTGTACGCGCACACACGCTCCCTCCTTGAAAAAAAAACATGCAGCTGGCATCTACAACAGAGGTGTCAAACAAATAAACCTAATGAAAGAAAGGGGAAACATCCCGGGACAGATTACAATAACTTGTGGCAGTACTGAGATCAAGTAAAGGAGATAATAAAATAGAATAAGAAAATATATGAAGGACAGTTCTGCACCATTCTTCTCCCACCAGCTTTTGAAAAGGGCTGCTGTAAAGTAGTGACCTCTAGTGGATGAGATGCGTTACTGCTTTGGGATTTTTGCTGTCAGTAAGATGACAGCTCGATAGACAGGCAGACAATAGACAGTTAGGTAGATAGATCTGTTGAAAATAACAGCACACGGGTTGTTATGTTTGACACCCCTGATCTAAAACTACACTAAGTAAAATGCCAGTCTGATGCAGACTGCATTTCCAATTAAATACCTTGAGTGGGGCTTTTATTTCTTGGAATATCCACAGAGTCTTCAGATTCAAATGCAGTAAATGCTAATGGCAATAAAAGAAAACTAACATAATGAATAACTATTAGACAACTACAACACTTGTGTTCATCTATAACAGCTGAGGCCTACAGTTCTCACTCTCCGGTAGTATAACACAGGACAAATAAGGAGTTCTGCACCTCACTCATAGTCTCTGGTTAGCTCCATACCTTGCATAAAATCAGACACCGATAAATATGTACAACTGCATACATTAAAGGGGAATTCCACAGATTTCTCAAAAACGTATATAATTGAGATGTAAACAAAGTCATTCAGAATGTTTAAATGTGAGATGCTCGGTTCTAGAGAAACTTAACAAGTCAGAGTGTTCACAGTGGTGGTAATAGGACCCAGACATCTGAAATGTTATTGACTATTAAAGCCCTCTTACAGAAAAATTTTACATTTAATGGTTATAAATATGTGGTCTGATGTCAGACATTATTTTATTATAGTTTTGAGAAAAGGTTTAGGCCTAAAGGCTATTCTTGATGGAGTGGTACATGCAGGGTGTTATAATTTACTACTGTTTTACCATTATTAACATCACACATAAAAACTGAGAAAATGTGCAGGTTCACTGGTCATTTTGGATAATAAATAAAATTGTTCACATCATACCACTCAGAAAACCCATAACATTTTACAATGACTGAATTATTTAGAAAGTATGAAAAATCTGTGGAATCCCCCTTTAAAGCTCCTCCAATTCTGCAGCAAGGCAACTCGAGCAAATTTACTGTCTCTCACACACACTCACACACACACACTCTCATACAAGGAAGACGACTGTTTTAACAATCCGAAACGTTTCATGCATTTTCACATGAAAAACTAATTCTGATGAACACTGATATGCCAATGAAAAATAAGCAACATCAAAACACTGAAAAAAGAGGCTAACTGCTACACACATGCAAACACACAGCAACAGAAGTTCCTTCAGCATTCATCAATCCATGGCAAACTGTTTCATTATGTTTTAAGACGCTTCACAAGACGAGCACACATCTGCACACTCTTCAAATGCTGAGTGCATTCAGAGCCTCTTAGAACTGATAAAAGCCTCAAAGCAGAAACATCTCCGGCTTACAGAAGTGCAGCCCAAGTTACAGGGCTAATGTCCTCTAGCTTCATGACATACCAGCAGCCCTCTCCTCCTCCACAACACTCTTTCCGTCTTCTCCTCCCTCACACAGAACCAGCGCATCACAGAGAAAAGCCTGGAAGCTTTTTAACCAATCAGAATGCTCATCTGCTAAAGCATCAGTGTTCATATTGTGCATAGAGCTGCCGCCCTTACAACAGCCAGGCAAACCTATGTAGCACAGAAGAAGGTGCAAAAAAAAGTGAGAAAGACAGCAAAAAAGCAGAGAGGGTGACAGAGCAGAGAAAAGTAGAATACACAGGAAAAAGCTTTCACTGAACTTTCGTTTAGAAATGTCTCTCTGGACCCTGAACGTTTTTAGCAAAGGTTGCGTTGAGATTCAATGGAACAATTTGTTTATATTGTTAAAGGACTTATATCCATTTTTTTGTGCTTTAAGGTCCACTTATGATATTTGTGTGGATTTAAGTCATAATTCCTTTTCATACTACCATTTTTCTCCTTCTCTTTATCCCGTAAAATTAAACAGGCTGTTTTTGTTACTGTGCCTTTAGGCTCAATATATGCAAATGAGCTCTCTTCTGACTGGCTGTCCTGTATTGTTCACTCGAAAAGCAGTGCAGGCTGAAACGCTGTTTATAACTTTAACTTTAATGTGCATATGGGTGGTGGTAAACTGCTGTAAGCTGCAAAGACGCATTTATCTAAATGCGTCGTTTCATGACATCACAAAAACTAGGAAAAACTAGGAAACCTGGCTGTTTCTGCAGCTTAATCAGTATTTAAGCAAAAGCAAGCAACCAACAATTTTAAGAAGGGCCAAAACACCTTTCTAGAAAATAATAAAGTAGGAAGCCTTTAAAAAGACTTTTATATTATATATTACAATGAAAAGTGCATATAAATGGGTGTATCTGTCCGGCTCTGCTTCTTACTACAAGAGCGATTTGCTGAGAATGTAAATTTGAATTCATTTTATTAATAAACTAATCTTGTTTAATCGTGTAAGCAGGACAGCCCCAGACGTCATTATCATCTTAGTGGCCTACTTTCCTTCACTCAATGTTAGTTTGATAGTATTATTTTAAAATGTGGCACTTCTAGCTCTTTTTTCTCTGTTCCAACTTCTCAAAGAAAAAAAAAAAAGAAATATCATGATGGACATGTGCATCCTGAGAATCTCGTGAAGCATCATGATCGTTGTTTTTTTTTTGCCATACTGCCCACCTCTATCAACACATTCTTGAGTTATAACACCATATGATCATTTATAGAGCTACGGTTACTTATATTTTGGTGTAGTCGACATAAAGGGAACTGCTGCAGACACAGGCCTTAGGGATGTTCTTAGTCATCGTGGTCTCACTGGTGACGAGCAACCAGACGGCAATTCTGAGACCATTTCCGCTTTTGAAGGATGTGCTATGTATGTGTGAACCACAGATGCAAAAAAAAAAAATGTTCTCAGTCTTTCAGAGAGGGCCTTGCATGTTTAGCTGTGTTCTACAAGACGAAGGTTTTTTGCTGTGAACCACAAAAGGCATGTGGTGAGAAAATGCTCTTTTTTTAACTATGTATGAGAGACTAACATTAGCATGTTGTATCTCACAGGAAGACAGCCAGTAGAAAAGACAGCCATTAGTCATCCTATTCCGCACTGATTAGTAAATCTATTGCAAAGGTTTTCAGTGTAGTCTTTGATGACACTCAGCCAGCTGTCATGCTGTGTCAGCTCACAATACACTTGAACAAGTTGATCAGGTTTCTGTAGTCTGAAGACTGCACTCAAAACTTTTGATCCACAGCTTTTGTTAATAAATTAATAACCACCCTAAAAACATCCCACACAATTATAGCACTTCTTCTCTAATAACAAGCTGGCATTGAGTCAGATACTTATATAAATCTTGCAGCTGTTTACAATTATGGACTAGGATTTAAGAACCCTAGTCAGTCATGCAGAAAACACAAATTTGCACTGACGTAGACATAAATACACACACACACACACACACACACACACACACACACACACACACACACACACACACACACACTTACAAACACAAACACACAGACAAACAGAGAACACAGAAAATACTTTGACTCACCCAAGAGAACTTTGGCATCCTCCACATCAAAGTCACCATCACCGTCTGCATCATAAACTCCTCCAAGTGTACCTGTGATTGAAAGACATGCATTGTTATACCATCAGATCATAGCACAAAACCCAACTGGCAGCTGGTGTTTTTTTGTAATGTTGTAGAGATAAAACAGAGAAAAGAGACCTGCATCTCTTCAGAAGAGCTTTTTTAGAAACAGTAACAGCTACAGTGGCGACATTGCCTGGACATTATTTGGTAACCTGGTAGGTCATGTTCATAAGGCTTCGTGACAATTACATAAGCTTTTCATGCCAACTGAAATAAACCTACATAAACATTTAGAAAGGTTTATTTCAATCAACAGCAGTTGATATAAAGGCTTTTATTCACTTCAATCCCAAACTGACATAACATGTATGTCAGAGTGATGTAGGTTTTTGTTGGCATTAGTTTCAGCGTTAACTGGATCTGGGGTGAAATGCACTTCTTAAAAGATGCTTTGACACTTTGTGGTAACAGTGGAATAAAAATCCACTGTAATGTAGTTATGTTGTGAACGTTATAATACTGTTACTGTCATGACAGAGCTATGTATGTTTTCTCTAGTCCTAAGTAAAGTGAGTGTAATATGTGTGTTCATGATATTTTTATGAAGCCCTATGGCAATGCCTAGCATGGTAATGGCAGAGTCATGTATATTTTCTCTGCCCCTTAAGTAAAGTGAGTATCATATTTATTCTTATAATATCTTTAGTGATCACTATGGCACTGCCATGACACTGTGATGACAGAGTTATATATATGTTTTCTCTAGCCCTTAAGTGTGATGGTAACACTATGAATGTCACGTTTGTAAGCATCTATAAACACATTTATAACGTTATAATGCATTCATAAGGCATTATAAACATGGTTATAAATATTTATAAAAATGAATTACACTCAATTGCACTTTATAGCCATGTGTATTATACATTATGATTTGTTAATATAATGCATTATAAATTGTGTTAATAACATGTTATACTTTCAGTGCCAAAGAAGTCAGTCCCAGCTTAGAGAGCATAAAGTAAAGACAAATACAAAGTTTATTTACACCCTGGGATTTCCAGTATTTTATTTGAGTGAGAAGTCACTGTGGAATGAAGACCTGGAGAGGGAGAGTAGAGTGCTGTCATTGTAATTTGCTTCCTCACTGGTTCTAATGTCAAGCGCTAGAACCCTTCACTCTGTAACATCCCTACACTATAGTACAGTAATGCTAGCATTCTATTGGATATGCATCGCCAAGCTAACGGTGGTGTATATGTTTCCTATACATAATATTTAATTCTCATGGAAACATGACCTTGATGGACAAATTCAGACCATTTTGAGTTGTCCTTGGGAAGAAAATGGGTTAGAAATTTTGAAAGGACTGAAAAGTATACCACAGTACTATAGTAGTTTAAGAATTACATGGGAAATAAACACTATTTGAAACATAGTGACGAACTGTAAAACTAAACAATGCCACTAAAAAGTCAGCCATCATAGCTTGCTGTGTCATTTCACCCTAGACAATGATATGACACAACCTAATCTCAGCAAAAAAACGATGTCACTTGGCATTGGTGTTCTGTCAGCTTAACACTGAAGTTGATAAAATCAGCCTTTACAACAACTGCCGCTTATTGAAACAAGCCCTTAAGTAGGTTTATGTAGGTTTATATCAGCTGTCATAAAAGGTTTAGCACAGTGACCTGTTGCATACTTTTTAAGACTAACAGAGACACAGAGTCACATGACAGGATGCAGAACAGAGAAGACCTATCCTACCTACAACGCTGTTGTATTCAACCAGGTCAAACCAAACAACAGCCACAGAAATCCAGGCACCCAGCAGAGCCAGCACTATCAGCCAGCTGAAGATAGAGTTTCCCTCAGCCTTCTTAGTGCTCTTATTGACAGCAGGTACTGCCTGGGGCTCTGTGAAGAAAAACAGATAGCAATACAACACAATCAGATACATACATACACAGTTTATATTGTGTTATCTTGCATGCAGTTCCCTTTTTTTTTAACAAGAAGTATAAGAAAAAAACAGTTTCTTTATAAGGAAGCTCTGGCCTAGTCTGGTCAGTGCAAGAGTGATGTTATTTGTGTGCTGAATGAGATGTTCTTTAAGAGGCTTACAGCTAAAGTAAGAACTGTATGCAGACAGTCACAGAGGATGGGGTTAAAGGAATATTCTAGTGTTTTTTTAACCTTATTTTTAACCTTGGTTTTAATTACAAATGAGTTCTGGGTGTTCGAATATTTTACTAAGAACAGCAAAATGCTGTGACATTACTATATGTGGTATAAACTGGAATGTTCCTTTTAAGGGCCCATATTATGTAAAACCAAATTACTAATTTTTCACAATAAAAGAGTTTGATGTATAATGTAAACATACAATTAATTCACAGGCCATACATGGAAAGTAATCTGCTAAAAACAGCCCATTCTGAATATATTGCTTTGGCATAGTTTTTAAAACAAATGCACTTCTATATATTGATGTTTTCAACCTACAGCAGTTTAACCCCACACACTGAAGTTATAAGGAGTGCTTCAGATTGGACTTCTGTATGAATGATGGACAGTACAAGATAGCCAGTCAGATCAAAGATCATTTACATGTATTAGTCCTAAAGATACAGTAACAAAATCAGCCTGTTTAATGCAGAGGGATAAAGACAGGCCATTTTCTGACCGTTTTTGGTACATAAACCAAGCGAATGTCATGAATGGACCTCAAGGCAAAAATTAATTGCAAGAAAAGTACAGGATGTTGTTTCTCAACCCCAACCCAGTCCTCAGGACTCAGCGGACAGCTCATATTTTAGCTCTAATCCAGCTTCCAGAAAAGTAATTTAATTTAGATGGAAGATTATGGTTTGTCTTTTAAATTATTTACATTTACATTTATGCATTTGCAGAGTCTCTTATCCAGAGCAATTTACAATATAGTCATGTTACAGAGGTAGGTGAATGGAGCGTTAGGAGTCTTGCCCAAGGACCACGGATGTTAATGACTAATCAATTAACCAACAAATTTGTAAATGTTCAAGACGCAGACATGAAACTATTTTAAATGTAGTTTACAGCACTAACGCAACTTTGACACAGTGCAAGGCTTTAGCTATAGCCTGTTGTGTGTTTTGTTAGCTAACAGTTAGCCTGTGTAGTTAGTCCTGTTACATAAAAAGCTTAAAAGTAGTGAGCTACCCACTTTATTTTGATTGTTGTTTAAACTCTGCATATGAACTTAAAGCCCTGCTAATGCCATATAAAACCTCATATATCCAAAACTGTAACTTTAACAGAGAGGAGAAAAATATTCTTAACGTATGAAGGAAGTTAAAGTAACAAGATTCTTTTTTAGACCATTTTAATTAACTGTTTATCATTAACATTTAACATGATGCAAAGGGTAGCTTGAATTTTCAAAGTATGCAAAAAACAACAGGAGATACAACTTTTGTGTGACAGCCACAATATGTTCATTAACTTGGGCTAGTAATATGTGGTAAATGTAATTAAGCAGACTATATTGTGTTCCTGCCATATCTTTAATGTCAGACTGTGTTTCTTCATTCAATAAAGCCCAAACCCTTGTTCATTTAAAACACAGTGGTATGTTTTATGTTCTAATGGGTTGTGTCAGCGATTTTAGGTTTGCTGGTTAACAATTAATCACTTACAAATTATGACTGGTTAATAGTCAAAAGAATTTGCCAAAATTTGCATCCCTATTAAGGACTCTCTTGGTGTTCTAACCAGAGCGGGGAGTAAAACCCCATTTGCTGCATGGCGAGTAGCGTAGTTACCTACTTTGCTATGCCATCCAAACCATGTAATAAATCATGAATGAGCAAGGACATTAACTAACAAGGTAAAAAGGGTCAACGTTGATTAAGGTTGACTTTAATAGCTTTGTGTTGGTGTGTTGGGAGCTGGAAGCAAAACTGTGACAGAGCTTGAGTCCTGCGTGAAGGTTGTGAGAAGACCTACAGATGAAACAGAGCAGCTGAATGCACTTACACAAGATGGAGTGAACAAAGCCTTAGAAAATAACATCAGGATCATATAACACAGCCTATGTTTTGCTGACAAGGTGACCTGCATGCTAAAATACCAAATACACACACACAAGCGTGCACACACAAACACACGTATAGCTTTTCACACAATTGTACGCAAACTTTCTATGACTGCTTTATTTCGCTGCTGTGACACTGACAGAGGAAGGAGTAATAATACAATGGGCGTGTCCTAAACTGTCCATCAGGTGCACCATAATTGGGGAAAGCAATGAATGAAGTGATCCAAAGCCAAGTCACTTTAGGATCACTTTCCAAACAAGCCAGTTAAATGCTTCACTCATTTGAGATGCTGTTACAACCAAAAATGGACAAACAATATCTACCATCAGCATCTCAGTATAAATAAAGTAAGAGAGACAGCGATAGAGAGAACACAAAACAGCTTTGTGAACTCAACTCAATGATGCTCTGTTAGTGAATTAGGCCCCAACATGCATACTAGCAGAGCACACAGTTTCCCAAGAAGCAATTCACTCATTATGAGGCCAAGTATGTGTAAATCCACACAGAGACAAAAACAGGGAAACATACTCCATGTAGCAGGCAAGCGAGTCCTCACACATGCCATACCAGACAGTTTCACGTCAATCTGCACATTATTCTACCTGCTACGTTTGCCATTTTGGTTCCATCTGCTTTAGTTTCTCCCATTCCAGCAGGTTCCTAGACTAGTGCTCCCGAAGAAAACTGTAAGGGAAAAGCAAGTCTTTTTTTTGCTCATACGAAACAGCGCTCGCTGGCTCAGCTGCAACTCGATATACGCTTCTGCCCACCGAGTATTTTTAGTGCTGCTGTCACCACATCACCCACTCTCTACTGGGCCTCATATGGAGACGAGGAGCGGCGGAGGAGCTTCTCTCTCACACACACTCACGCATTCTCACACGCACACACTCTGGATGTGCATAAACGTGAGCAGGTTCTCTTTCTGCTGAACAAACGGACTGGCTCAAACTCAGACACGTAAAGTTCCTCCTGTATCAAAAAGAAAATCAGGAAACTAGTACAATCACACATTCACATACTCACAGACACACACACACACACACACACACACACACACAGAGAGAGCTCCATGGTCTCAGAATATGAAATAGCTGACATGATATGTAGAAATAGCTAGAACATGCTCATGTCTATTCAGTTTTGAAACTTCAGTCCAGCATGTTTCACCAGGTCAGAACTGCCTCTGTAATCTTATGACACAGTTAAGACATAATTATGAACCAGTCATTTAAAATTCTAACAAATTTGTGTTTTATAAGCAACGTTATAACAGTTTATGTAAAATTATTTAGTTGAGTGAAATGACATGAACATATCAATATTGGGCAGACATCAGCAGAAAACGCCGGAAAGAATCTGATCCATCAGAAGTGTAACCATACACAATTTCACAACATGTTAATATTTTGCTTCATGATACAATACACTTATGGTACACATGCTAGAAAACAAATGCTAACATCTTTCACAGAGGACTGGACAATATGACAATATTTATCATTATTAAGGTCACAATATGCTTTTCTGAGCATACTGTATTGATTGTCAGCACTTAAAATAATGAATCTCAGTAAGTAAGACCCAAGTTATCCATTTTACAAAAAAAAAATAAAGCACCTCATATTCAGTTAAAATTGTACGGGCAAAACTTAGAACAGGTATCAGAAATTAGGTACTCAGAAGTGTGGATGGACTTCCGGTTGAGATTTAAGATGCACGTTAATAAATTAGTGTCAATGCAAAAAAGTAACGAATGTGTTGAGATGTTTAGCAGGATGTGACTGGGGTGCGCGTCAGCAGGCGCTGGGGCAAATATATTTCTCTTTAATCCGATCAGCCCTGGACTATGGCTGTACAGTGCATGGTTCAGCATCAAGAACACTATTAAATAAGGTGGATGTAGCTCTGACACAGGCATTAAGGGTTTGCTGTGGTGTTTTCAGGTCCTCTCCTTACCCTGCAATACAAGTGGAAATGTGCAAAATGCCACTAGTAATAAGTAGACTTAAAACTGTCATACAGGGTGGGGTTAAAAGGGCACCATCCCACGAAGAAAACACCACAGGACTGTTGGGAACATGGTGACTCATAGGGCTGACAACTGTCAATCTGTGTGGTTCTGTCAGCAATTCCTCCGTGGCTTTTTTCAATGTCCATCAAAGATCTACAGTTGCACAGTGTCATAAAGAATAAGATCCTCCAGATCCTTCTTAGGCTACAGCATTTGGGGTTGTCCATTAGTTTCCTGTGGGTACCAGCACATGTAGGGGTAGAAGGAAATGAGGTTGCAGACAAACTAACAAAGCAAGGCCTCAAACTGGCGCACACTGTTATAGTACAGTTGAGTAAATCAGAAGCAAAAACGATCATTAAAGTTAACGCGATTAAGATGTGGCAGGAAATGTGGGACAAGGAAATGAGAGGGAGACATCTTTATAATATTCAAAACCAAGTAGGGCCCAGAGTGACAACTGTAAACAGACGGAAGATACTGTAGTTGCTAGGTTACCTATCGGACATAGTGGGCTAAATCATTCTTTATTTAGGATTGGGAAACATTTAACTGGTCAATGTACACACTGTGAGCAGTCTGAGACGGTGGGGCATGTATTAACACATTGCAAAAAGTATGAAAACGAAAGGAAAGAGGTGTTCGCAGATTATGGGGAAATAGTTATGTTAAGGATCAAGAAGCTGTTGCAAGATATAACAGGGAATATGTGAGTAATATGTGTAATACTTCTGAAAATTACAGGGTTGCTTGATAAAATTTAGTTTTTGTTATTTCTTCTTCTTCTTTTAATGGATAATTCTCCTGTTACATCACAGGCCTGGTTTAATGACCTGTTAGTCTCCTTTAGGTAGTAAACTTTAAATCCTGCTATCGGTGCTCCATGATCCAGTCCAGTAAGTGGCGGTAATGCACCACATAACAGGATTGCCAACTGCCCAAAAACCTAGAAGAAGAAGATATGAGCTGGTTACCTGAGCAATATTGGTGGGGACGCTGCTCACAGTGTTGAAAGTTAGTGAAAGGAAGGAGAGATACCGCTGAATATGGAGACGTCGGAACGGCAAACTCAGTCATCTCTGCAGTGTCGCCCACAGTCAAAGCAAGAAATGTAAAACTGAACAGAGCCAGTGTTCTAACAATTTATACTACCCACTGAGCGGTCCCACCGAGCATTTGCATGTCATTAGTATAGCGTAGTAACTCAGTGTTTAAAACAATTTATTGTGTTTTTAATGTTAATTCAGACTCAGCTTATTATTACTGCTTACCCTCAATAAATATATTTAGGCCATCAAAATAACCTAATAATCCTTTTAAAGTTGGTAACATTTTCTGAGAAGGACATTCGCCAGCATCTTGTTTGAATTTGTAGCTCCATTGTGGCGCCTGAGGCATTATAGTAAGTGCTGCACCATTTAAGGTGGAAAGGGAAATTTCAAACAAGATGCTGACGAATAAGACGGCAACTTCACCTCAGTGTATGTAATACTGGTAGTATTTTTTTGATAAGGTGATTGAGGCTATGAGAGTTTGCTCTCTATTGTTTGATAAACCAGGATAGCCATTATGCTTACTCTTTCCAGTGCTACCAACTGTTTCCTTTCATAAATGCAACCAATATTAAATATACTTGACTAACACTGCCTAAACAGGTATGTGACTGAGTGGAAGTTTACATAATTAATGGACACATGTTCTACCCAGCTGTCAAATGAATAGTAATGTTAGTTATCTATCAGTTGGTTTTGGTGAAGCAGGTAACATATCCATACTTTTCACCTCAGGTTCGCCTCAGAAATTGGATTCATGGTTTTTGATATTTTTATATGTCACAGTACTTTGTCTGTTCCAACTTATCAGATGTCAGAAAAAATAAATATTGTGACTTCCAATGCATCGTGAAAACCTTTTGAAGTATCATGATATTACATTTTTGCCACATCGCCCAGCTCTTTTCTCACATTTGATTATTCATTTATTTCTTTTTGGTAATTGTCACTATTGTCCCAAAAAGACTGCCTATTGAAGGGATAACTACCCTTCAATAAGTACTGCTTACTAAAGGGATAACTACCCAAGCGATTTTCTTAGAAGATATACAACAAATAAAATAATATAAACAGAAGTGCAATATCCAAATAAAAGTAAACAAAAACGTGAACTATAAGACTACATCTCAATATTAAACTAACTGAGCATTACAGGTTAATTTACAATCAGATCTTGTGTCTTTACATAAAGAATTTCTCTTGTCTGGCTGAAATGAGTAAGTGGTATTTTCTAACATGTATCAATCACTTCCAACAGACTATTGCGTAACTCAGAAGCTACATTCGCTTCGAGTGAAGAAGTAGCTGCTAAAAACTTTTTCTCCATGAGGCTGAACTTGGCTTCCTACTCATCAGCTTCTTATTAAAATTTTTCATTCCACCTTAAATAGAGCAGCTGTACCTGTAACTGCTGCTTTATTTAAGGTGGAACATAAATGTCAAATAAGAAGCTGGTTTAACCTTTTCTTCTTGATCCTGTGATTGACACATTTGAGTCTTCACAAATGAGTTAGCATATCAGAAGTATTAGCACAAGTATTAGATCTTCACGTTAAGCAATGTCGGTACACGGTCGCCGTTTGATTGTCTCATTAAGCAAACAAAATCTTGCAAATATGATTATCAAGTGTGCAGTTGCAATTTGATTGTCAGTTAATTTCAGTTTGTGTATGTAACAAAAGGCCACAAAACACACACACACACACACACACACACACCAATGCTAAGCTTATCACTTGTGAACATGTCCACTACTGAGAAGACTGTTTGGTTTAATTACCCCTCAAAAGTGTTTTGTAATGCTGAGATTATCAATTGGTTCATTATATTGCTTAATCAATCTTCACTTCAGTGTTTGTTAAAAAAAAATTGTTGAGTAACACATACAAGTCACATGTGTTCTGATTTCAAAATAGTTAATAAACAAGCACTGATGGCGTTTCTTTGTTATTGAGTAAGTTTTCTAAAATATTTACATAAAATGTCAAAAATAAATGTATTGTGAATACTGCCTTCACAAAATGTAACTTGGACTGAACGCAGATGCTTAATTTCTGTTTTCTGAATGTGTATTCCCAGTACTTGTACTCCGTTACATCCCAACCCTGCTGGCTGATTACAGTACAAGCTAAGTAGATACAAAAAGAGAATGTAAAGTACAGCATAGAGAACAAAAAGCAGTCACACACATTAATTCCAGTCGTTTACAAAAGTATTAAGTTAATACACTGTTTTCATGGCGTTTTAGAAGACCTATTATAAACACCTCCTGATTATATTTATAGAATTTAACAAGAAAAAAAATGATAAATGAAAACAATCTTTAAAAAGATGGTGCTTCAGAGGTTCTTTAGTGAAGACAATGATTCTATGCAGAACCATGAACACTCAAAGAACCCTTTGCATGATTAAATTGATGGAGAATGTGCTGTAGATGGTTCTATTTAGAACCTTTTTGAAAATGGTTCTATATAACACCCAAAAGCATTCTTCTACTGTTACAGTATCAAGCTTGTAACAACAAAAGAACACTTTTGGGCACTATATAGAACCATTTTCAAAAAGTTTCTATAAAGAACCGTCTATAGCACATTCATGCACATTTTCCATTAATCTGAAGAAGACTTTAAATCATGCAAAGGCGTCTTTTAGTGTTCTCAGTTATATCTAGAACCATTTTCTTTACTAAAGAACCCCTGAAGCACAATCTTTGAGTGTACTTGTTTACATCTTTCCCCTCACAGCTAAAACAGCACAGACCATAGACCACTTCCTTGAGGGCAAGAGAAGAGTCACTGAACAGATGAGTTTGGATGCAATGAAGCACATCAGACCAGAATTTTGCGGAACGGGTACAAAACCAAAACAAGTGCTCAGCAGAGGTAAAGCCAATTCCTCTTTATGTAGATTAGACTGAAGGCTCTTGGCTCATTCTTGCAGAATTCACACAGGCCCAGAGCCAGCGACATGGAAAACCAGGAAATCCAAGGAAATGAGAAAGTCAGGTAAGTCTGGGAGTAAAAGCGCCCCCCGTAGGCTGGCAGACTGACCAGAAACGTTCAGAAACTATCTGCGCCCCAAACTACATCTACAACAACATGAGCTCTTCTGAGAAACAGCTCGGCTTCTCTACATTATGTCCTGCACACAGCGGCTCAGGACGAGGCTGGAGTCCGCGTCTTATTCGAATTTTCCGTTCCACCTTAAAAAGTGCAGCAGTCACATTCTGGCGCCTCAGGCGTTATAACAGCTAATTTAAGGTGGAACAAAAAATTCGATCAAAGAGCCAACTTCAGCCTCGTGATTAACGACTCAGTAGGTGCTACAGTTATGAAGTTACAGGGCAAAGGGTGCGTTTGACACCCTGACACATGTAGCACAGCCGGCTTTAGCCCTGGTTTCACTGACCTAAAGTCTCTGTTTTGAGTCGTAGTATCTCTAAGAGAGATAAGAAGAGCGTGTATGTAAACACAGGTGTAGCTCTAAAGGCTGGAAGCTCGTACTATAGAAGAACAGCGATAAGCGCATCACCATCAACTCCTCCTCACCACACATGGGTTTGCAGAGGCTAACAGAGAAAGAGAGGCGCGGTTACCTTTCTTAGCCTGGCTGCGTGCAGGTTTTTTATGGCCCATCACAACAGAGGCGAACCGCAGAGAAGTCTGACCATAAACTCGCTCTTTGGTCTAGAATCACAGGCTCCTTCTGTAAACAGCAGAACAGAGTCAACAGCTCGCTCTGCTCTGTGTAGTTGAGGGAAAACCGTGTGAGAGTGACAGACAGGGATTTCGTCCAATCCGCGCCTGCGGACAGGGGGTGGGCGGCGCTCTCGCCTGCCGAAGCCAATCACATCTCAACTCCTCCGCGGAGCGTGAGGCGTGTGGATGCGCGCGCCTCCAAACCCGCCCGCAGTGGAACGTGCGTAACGTGGCAACCTCGGAATTTAGGGAGATTTTTCTCGCGAGAGTTTCGGGATTCATGCCCTCTGCTGGAAAACGTTTATAATTTTTCTCACGAAGAAAATAAACGGTTTCCAAGGCTTTTTAATTTTTTAACTTTTTATCTTTACAATAATTTTCTTGTTAACTTTCTACACCCTTTTAAAACTTTTCCTCCCAGATTTAAAAACTTTCCAATACTATTATTCCCAGATTTTTAAAGTTTTCAATTAAAAAGTTTTTTTTTCCAGATTTTAAACAAATTTTTATGCTTTTTTTACGTTACATATTTTGCATACAGTACTGTGAACACTGCATTTTACATTTTCAGTTATTCATTTTCAGCATCAGGGAAAAAAGCAGAAAACATATTTAACAGAAAATTACACAGAAGCCTCAACAACTGAACATAATATATGTATTTTTGTGTTAATTAGTGTGCCCACTCTTTTACAGCTTCCATTATTCTCAGGAGACTTCCTTTCAGATTTTTGTTTCCAAACCTTCAAAGTTCAGTGAGTAGAATTTGGTTTCATGATGCAAGTTATCTCAAACACATTCAGTGATGTTGAGGTCTGTACTCCGTGAGGGCTTCTTGTCAGCTACACATCCTTTCAGACTCATAGTGTTGAGTTGTCTTCTCACAGTGGAAGGATGAACAGAAAACCTGTGGATTTTTTTTAGCTCTGAAACAAAAGTGGAGCTTGATTTTCTCCTCTCTCTCAAAGATAAAGGCTTTAAGTGCTGCTTATCTGATGATCCTGCACCGTTTTGCTGCGGTTTCTGGGTTAAATATCATGTTTGGTCGAAACGCTGTGCAGCAGGTTTTGTGTTGGTTTTCTCTGGTTTGATTGGCGTGTCTGAGGTGTTAGCCAATCAGTTGCGACGAGTATACAAACCCCGCTGTATTAAAAAGACAGTGCACACAACGGATTCTGATCAAGTCTCTACACATCCAGATCCAAATTCACTAATATAGACATGTAATTACATAGATCTGTACGTACAAAGGTCATGTGTGAAGGTTTTTTCTGGCAAATTTCATCTTATGTATATAAAATTTAGCTATTACTATGATCACAAAGTTTATCAAATAGCGCTCATTGAGATTAAAGAGGGTCAGCAAAAAAGTAATAAAATATAGGGCTTTTGAGAGAAATTTCTTTACCAGTCTTTCTTTTCAAGTCTAAAAAGAGAGATTGACCCAGAAAGAGTAAGAAAATACACAATAGAAAAATAAATGTTCAATGGATTCTGTAGCCCCTTTTCAAAAAACGCAAGCATAAAATTTACTCAAGGTATTATTGACAGGGTAGCATCTATGCGATATTTTATAAAGCAGCTCTTTCATTTTGTTATTAAGAACATATTTATATGGGAGAGGCCAGACTGAACAGCTGTTCTGCCTTTGTTGAGCTGACCACTGGAGTGTTACTAATGGAGCACATTTATGAGGTAAAACCTGCCTCATAAAATTATTGTTACATTTCTTTTCTACTACATCAACCCCTTTAATAGAAATGACATAGTTCTGTAAAGAAAAAATGTCTTTAACCTTGTAATTACTTTTAAGTAAACAGAGAAGACCATCAGGGATAGAGTCACACACCTTCCTAAATTCAGAATTTGAACTAATAATACCGAATTTGTTGCAAAAGTCAGAGTAGAAAATGATTGTCATCAAGTAGCTGGTAAATTAACGAAATGTTATTATTAAACCACAAATGTGAGAACAGTGATCTTCCCTAATGGGTAATGTGTTCATTGTTCCAAAGTAAAGACTGATGAGGTAAAAAATTATGTTTGTAGATTATTAACCAATTTAACGAAACTTGTCTGTGAAAGGCTGATAGTTTTGTGGGTAGTTTATTAACGATGTAAGGGCACATAAGCAAAAAAATGAATCCACCAACTTCTCTGACGAGAAAATTAGGTGTAAAATTTCACAGACTTCCAGGATTTATGAGGAGTCTTCTAATCCAGCAAATTTTAATAGTTTCGTTGAGTGTGGTGAAGTCCTGAACTTTAAGTCTGCCGTCTCCTATTCTGTTTTTAAACACATCCTTTACTACTTTGTGAGATTTGTGTCTCCAAATGAAACTAAACAACATTTGGTCTAATTGCACAGCAGCTGATTTAGATGCTTTTTAAAAAAGAAGCTACATAGGCACATCTGGAGAGCCCCTCTGCTTTGCTCAATAAGACACAACCTTGGAGGGTTAACTCTCTGGCCAACCAAATACTAAATCTCTTGTGTATGTTATGTCTATAAGGACACAATTTAAATCATTCATATTTTTACCATCTTTAGTCATTTTAATACCAAGGTAGGTGACAACATTTTTCACTGGAATATTACACACAGAGTTAATGCATTTGTTTAAGGGAAAGAGCTCACATTTTTAAAGACCTAAACCAGAGAAATTTGAAAATGAGTGAACTACACTTTAGAAACTTCAAGTTTATTATTAAGAAATAACACTGTGTCATCAGCTAATTGTGAGATTTGATTTCCATATCACCAGTACTGATGCCTTTTTGTTCAATTAGCAGGCTAAGAATTCAAGTGGAAAGGAGGAAAAGTAAAGGACTAACTGGACATCCCTGACGTTTGCCTACAACTGCTTATTCACCAACCTTTAACCCTGAAGGTTGGTGCGCAACCTGCTGGTCACCACAGCAGTGACAACAATCTCGCCTAGCTAGTAGCTAAGAAAAAGGCAAAGGGATTTAAGGTGAACATCGATAATCTGGAGACGAATGGAATTATTTGCATTCATAAGCACTCCAGCTGGTTTCCTGATATGTTTAATCTGGAAACCTTAAATGGTGCAGCAGTTACATTCTGGCGCCTCAGGCACCACTTATGGTGGAACAGGAAAATTCAAACAAGAAACTGTTCTACTTTTAAGGAAAAGTTTTCTGACTGAGATGTGTGAAAAGCAGCTATAGCTGAGCTAAAGCTTAAAGAAAAGCAAAGTAAGTCTGTGTTTCGGTTTACATTTTTAACCTATACTAGTACATTAGCACACACTCAGACATATTTACAGCTAAGGATGGACATGAAATGTGGTTCCCTGGGTGGTTTTATTTTTGTGGAAAGGACAAAATAGCTCTTCTTAACATTTTGTTTGCCAACCCCTGAGCTAGGATATATTCTCTAAGTGGTCACCAAAGGACTTTTTTAAGACACTCTGGAAAAGAGCGTCTGGTAGCTGTCATAAATGTGAATGTAAATATGCATTAGAAAGACTGAATTTGAATATCCATACTTTTCCCTCAATCCCAGTCATGTGCTGTACTCAATCTTTTCCATAATCTGATGCTTCTGATTCAACTGGTCAGCCACTTCTCATGCCTCTTCATGAGCCTGGCCAGGCTTGCTCTAGCAGGGAAACCTAAGAATGTGCTCTGCATACAGCTCCCCAGAACTGGCTCCACTGGTTTAGTGAATAGTATTAGTTAGCAGCTATTGTTCTCATTATAAAAAGAAAATAGAAACACATAGATATCAATTGTTTGGATTTTTATTGAGATTGAAATATCAAAACACACTGATATGTCTTTGGACAATATGTAGAGTTTGGATAATGAACACAGTACTGAATGAATAGAACATATTTACTATAGTTCTCTTCACATTACTATTAACATTTGTAAAACTGTTTAAAATGATACAGGGTCAAGATTTTCTTGAAACTGTGAATGTGATGATAGACAAATTCATGTACTTGTCTGGTTTAATGAAAAAAGCAGATGCCAACAAATTCTTGGAGGAAGATGGACGATCAGAAGTCATTCCCCTACCTCATGTGTAATCTTCAATACCTCATCTGAGGTCAACAACCACATTGTATGAATTCTGCCATCAAACTGCCCTAATAGGCAGAACAGTTCCCATATAAAGAACAGGTTAGGCCTATGCACATACAACTCAGGCCTGACAGCATCATTATAGCAAAGCAGATTTCACATTTTACAAACTGTCCTGCTATATCAGCTTTAAAGATATTTGCTAGTCATATTGCTGACCTTTGTTTTTTTAATATATTTGCTTATAAAAGTTGCGGTAGATCTGCATAGTTTTAAATGGCTTTCAAATTGTGCATTACTTACATTTCTGTGTTTAACGTTGTAAAAATGTTTTCTGTATTATCTATATATGTAATATTTTGATGATTTAGGGTAATTCAAGAAGCTGTTTTGATATCTGTGCAAATCTGTACAGGCAGGAATACTATGACGTTGAGTGGACATATGCAGAGTCACTACATGGTTAAGCAAAGGTTAAACCATGGGGATTTCTATCAGTGTAATTTCCAAAAAAAAAGTTAAATTCAAGGGACGTTGCCTCCGTAAAACAAGTTTATTTGCATATAGCAAGGAAAATGATCATGAGAATTGTGCTAACATGTTTCAGCTTAGCCTTGCTATGTACAAATAGAGATTTTTTTTCACATTTTTTCAATGGACAGACACTGAAAAATACTGTTACTGCCACATAAAGGAAGAAATTAAAGGAATACTCCAGTGTTTTTCAGCCTAATCTCTGTCTGCTGCATCTATAGCATGCAGATCTTTGCCAGAAACACATTTCAAGCGTATGCCACAAATGTAGCACATGTAGATTAAGCTGGAAAACACTGAATTCCTTTAATGATGGAAGAGGAGAAAAATAAAAAGAACAAAGCTCCCTCTCTCTCTCCTTCTTTCTCTTTTCTCTCTAATATTAAAATGTACAAATCCTCACACACTGCGTATGTATGCATAACATCACTCCCCCAAAACTGTAGAGCCGCACACAAGACAAGCCTGTTCCATGCTGGCTCTGTCCGTATCACACCTCAGGAATGGAGTGGTCCATTAGAGACTTCACAATGCTGCTGCACATCCTGCAGAGTAAGGAAGCACAGCAATAAAAGGCCATTAAAAACAGAAAGAAAAAAATCAAATCAAATCAAGCCCCTCATTAGAATTAGGTTTTGTTTTCCCACAGTCACTCAGCTTTACCTTTTCATCATGTGTTCAAAGATGACCACCGGCATCACGGTTACGGTTACAACTCTGCCACTAGAATTAAGAATGTCCAACACTTGAGAGTCCTGAGAGAAAGAGAGAGAGAGAGGGAGAGGAGAGAGAGAGAGAGAGAGAGAGAGAGAGAGAGAGAGAGAGAGAGAGAGAGAAAGATTAATTGTTTACAGTTGTATTACAGTGATATAATGAAATGTATCTTAAAAGAGATTATGTGGGACTTTTTTTTACATTACAGACGACGGTCGAATGATCTTGTAAAATGAATGGAGAAATGTAACCAGTGCAGAAGCTTCCTGACAGATGTACTGCATGATACAGGAGATACAATTAAACAATGGACATCCTACCGTGCTCTTAGACATGTATAAAAATGCCAACCAACACCATTTGACCTCGATTTTTTATCAAGATGGCAAGAGAGATGTGGCTTGAGAACTAGCTAGTGTTTTAATAAGAACAGTGACTTAAGTGATTTAGATCTATGCGAAAGACATCAGTATACAGGGCTGGAAATGGCCAAAAGTGCACATTTAATTACTGTGATGCTTGAACAGCAGCTGTTCCTCAGATGTCTGCGAATGTCAGTGCAGGTTTAGACTGTGTCAACAGGAACAGTTCATCCTCAACTACATAAAACAGGATATTACGGTGGAGCTTCAATGCATAAATCCCTTCACTACAAAGACAAATGCATACTTGAGAGTTCAGTGGTACAAACACCATAGGCTTGGGTCTGCAGAGATGTGGAAAACTGTGATATGATCAGATGAGTCATCCTTCACCATTTTCTCCATAAGTGGGAGAGTGCTAGCATGGCGTACACCAAGAGAGCAGTACAGGCCTGCATGCTTGACCCCTACAGTGAGGGGGTACTGTGGCTCTATTGTGCTAATGCATTTTGCTGGCATGATTCATGTCCATTTGAGGAACGCATCACTGCAAATCAATACAAAGTTATTCTGACTGATGACCCTTATCCTATGATAAAACACTTTGAAACCTGATGGGAGTGGCCTCTTCCAGGAAAGAGGAATGCCCCCATCTACAGGGCCTGAGAAGCCAATGAAAGGCTTATGAGTATGAAAATTATATGCTACGGCCTTTCCAGTCACCAGATCACCGGACACAACGGAACACCAATGGGAGATTTGCAGTATGTGGAAGTATGTGTGTGAATCCTCCACAGTCTGTCACTAGGCTCCATAAAGACACTGAAAATAATTTTAGAGTGACCTCAATGCTATAATGGCTCTGTTTAAGAGGATAACATTGGTATCACACTCAAAAGAGTTTTAACCCAAAAAGCAATTACATTCATCAGGGGAATTTAGAAATAGGAACAGGGCCGAATCCAGGAACAGGGGAGTAGTTGATTTGAACTGTTTTTGAGATTTTTAATTGATTTAAAATCATTGCATTTATCAGAGTTGAATAAAACCAGCTAAACTGTTATCACTTTTACAGTGCATACAGACAAAAGCAAAGAACAAACAAAGCTTTCATAAGCCATGTCATTATGCAGAGGAGTTCCTGCAACATTCAGAGACAGAACGAGAGACAGTGAGACCCATTTACCTTCAATCCAATGACATTCTGTCCATTTATCTCACAGATCTGCTGGTCAGTGAGCAGTCCGTTACGAGCTGCTGAGCTGTCCTTCACTATGGAAGTGATTCTGCCTTTCTTAAAGATGAATCCTAGCTGCCCGCTCATGTCCTTGTGGAGAGTAACCGTGCGCTCCAGAGGCCTGCAGAGAGTGAAGGTCAGCTCAATATTAGCTTGACAATTAGTCTTAGCTTGGAACATAAATGGCATTCTGCAGAGTGATCCTTCTGACCTAAAGGGCCTTTTATATGGAGATATAAAAGGCCAATAAGGGTCAATATAGCATAAACATAACAATATGATACTTAAAGGGCTTACTTTTGTTATTTATTTTTTTCCCCTGGAGTCCACTTTTGACATTTTATGTACCAAAAACAGTCACAGTTCATTTTTACATGTCCTTATCCAAACAATAGAGTGCACCAGCACCAAAGTGCACCAGCACCAGAGTGCACCAAAAACAGCACTGACACATTTACAAAATGCTAAGAAAAACGATCAATACAATGAGTTTTTATTCAACGTTTGCAAAAATAAATTATTTAGGGAACAAAATTAGGGGAAAAAAGTAAATTAATACAGTATGATAACGGCATAATCAACTCTCATCCAATCAACTACTTTTTATGCAGTTTGTGCAGCTATGCAGTTTGTCACAGGCTCTCTATAACTGGTAAAAATCAGTCTTTATGTTTTTTTTTTCTTTATTCAGTATTCTGTACTGACAATACCCATCATCATCATTCCCACTGTAATTTGAAAATAATTGTCCAGGACAAATTTCAGACAATTTTTCTGATTTAAACTAAAGATAGCTTTCACATCAGGTCATCTTAAACTAACTGCTGGCATCCTTAACATTATAGTCAACAATACAACCCCCAACAACCCCAAACAGACTGAGTGATAAACTGACTCACACTCACATAACCATTCCTTAATCATCATTTGAGCTCAAGCACTACTAAAATATGTGAAGTGAAGGTTACAGGCAGCAAAAAGTGTGTTGATGTAGCCTCGCTCTACCAGGTGTTCTGACACAACGCCCATGTATATGTCCATATACGACACTGCAGCACTCCAAACTACAATAGGCATGAATGGACACAACTGGGCATTAGCAGCTAAAAATATACTAAAATATGTGAAAAAGGAATATTGTTGCTGTTGGGACAAAACCTTGTATCTCCATTTTTGACGTTCTCTATTTTTTTATGTCTGCTCTTTAAATTGTGTTAAAATTTCATGATAAATGGAAGAATAGAAATGGTCAAAAATGACTTCATATAAGTAATTAAACTTTTCATTTCCATTAAGAGTTAAGAATTTTACTTCTGTACAACTTGCTTTTTGGGAGATACAAGATTTTGTTCCAGCAGCGATGATATGCTAAAATATGCAGTCTCAGGGTTGAAATTTACACTTTTCCAGGACAGTAATATCCTGGATATCTTCAGGACATTTTCATCATACTTTTGTATTTTCCAGATGTTGTTCAAAGCTGGTCTATAAATTTCCAGGTGTTCCAGGTTTTCCAGGATGTGTGAGAACCCTGAGGATATACTTATGTAAGTGTCCTGTGATGTAATTTAGCATGATGATGATAACATATCATCATACTGTCCACCCCATTCTAATAATAAGGCATGGTATGGTAAAAATAGATGACTAGCTGCTTTATTGTTATTAACCATTTCTATTTACTGTTAAACATAAACTCAGACTAAAAACACACTATGCTTGCTCGCTGTTGAGCTGTTCAGCTATACACATGTAAACATGCCCCATTGTTCCTGATAACTTTATCAATTATTCAGCCAGGGCAGTCTCATTCTTTATGAATAAAACATTTGAGTGCTGTGCATTGATGACTAACAGAAACACTGGTCAAACTGCCCAAAGGCGTGTGATGTGTGTTCTTACCTGTCGCGTACAGCGAGTGTGATTCTCTCAGGATTGGCGTTCTTCAGTGCTTTGTGTGCACGGTCGCTGGTCCAGCCAGCACACGACTCTCCATTAATTTGCAGAATCTGATCACCAAAGCGTAGACCACCCAACGAAGCTGCAGTGTTAGCCTGCACCAGCTGCACAAAAACCCCCTGAAAAAACATCCACACAGAATATGATGGCTGTGTATATGCCTGTGAACATCACTCAGTTTTTTGTGTTTACAGTGCCAGACAGATTTAAACTGCAATATCATTATCAGAAGGTTTGGGCGATATTCATTTTTCAAAATTGTTGACAGGTCTTTTTAAAACAGACAATATTTATGTTCATATTTGGGGAAAAAAAGACAGTCATTAAGTAAATTCTGGTGTCTATAGCAGTGCTTCTCAATCCACTTCTTGGGGCCCACCAGACGGTTCCATTTTTGCTCTAAACTAGTAAGCTGGGATCTGGACTGCAGCAAAAACGTGGAACTGTCAAGTGGGACAAAACTGAGAAACACTGGTCCAGAGGTAGTATTTGCAGTGGCGTTTTTGGCTCCACTGAAGCTTGTAGTTGATCGATTATAGGCTAACAGTTGTGGACGATGTTGTGCAACATTTGTCATTTCTTTTTATGAATCAAGAGAAAGTAGACATATTCAACTGCTGAGTTTTTGTGCTTGCTTCGAGTGGCAAGCATCTAGAAAAACAGACTCATGCTGCCTGTGGCTGGAATAAAGGACTATACTCACTGCAACCAGACTAAGGCCTACAATGTAGGGAAGAGTTGACGGCTCTTACAGCCAAGCTTCAACGCAGCCAGGATTGCAGGAAGTGAATAGTTTTTTAAATGTTATTAAAGGTTATTTACCATAAACACCAAACATGTTCTTTTAAATGCTATAAGATGGCTTTTGTTGCCTGACTTGGGTCCCTCTCTAAAATTGGACATTCCACTGCTAACACTGTCCTTTAAAAATCAGCATTTTTTGATTAAACGCTCTCCGTTGTGTAAGAAGTTATCATTTATTTTGCGTTGAATCACATGACCGCGTTTGTGTGTTCCTTCTGTTTTAGACTAGGTGCTTTTCTCAAAAACTCCAATAATGGTCTGTTGTATCCGGGTCTGACTGGTGGACGGCTTCTTTCAGACCAATTAAACATGCATGTGTGTTCCAGTGACTGAGTTGCCGATCACCATCTCAATTCAAAAACAGTATCACTGTTCAGCACTGTTGATATTGCAGAAACAATACTGTCAAATCACCAAAGCCTAAATATAAGAAACTTCGGAATTTGCCATTCCAATTAATGTTTTGGATTTTCAATTCCATGTTTCATTAACACAAATATGACATTAGATCAATGCAAACATATTCGTCATTATACAAGCAAATGGGCAGTGACAGGCGACTGCAGTGTTACAAAAAGAGGGAGGAAAGCAAAGGGAGGATCAATCCAGTTGCCACTAGGCCATCTGAGAGGACATGGTTCCCTTTTACCCCTTGAACTCCAGGCTTATTATTCAGTTATTAAACTTCAGCTATTGATCTTAATCCTTTGTAAAGTGTCTAGTTATGAGAGTGAGAAACTGAAGTGTGGGCCCACATAAAGGCCCTCAGAGTTTAGGGGTTTAAAATGTATCCTACGTTGTCTATGGCTTTGAGGCGAAGACCGATCTTGCCGTCCATGTCTTTGCACAGCACCACCTCTCTGACGCCCTGCCGGATCTCAGCCCTCTTCACGCCCAAATCGCTGCCGGTTATGGGAGCAGCTGCCCAGTTCATGCCAGACGAGTGGACACTGAGGGCCTATGAAGCACAACAGAGGATACACTGTTCTACAGACATGGACAGTTATTTCTATCCCCTGAATCAGCTGGTGACATACACAACAGACTTACTCCACTGCTTTGCTCAGGAACTGTGGTAGACAGAGCTTGTAGAGCATCCGTACTGAGATTCAGGCCCATAAATTCACTCAGCTCCGGGTATAATCTCCCAGAAGTGCCTGTGGTCAGCAATATATACACACATATCTGTGTCACAGAATATAGCCTCTAACATTAACATTATTACACTCAAAAAAATGCAACTGCACTGTTCTTGATTTCATCCATATGTGTCCAAAACGTAATTATACAGGAAGATGGAAAAACATCCTTAATTTTTATTATAGGATAAAGCAACAATTTTAGACTTGCTTTATTGATCCATTGATCATGTTCACACAATGCTGTGCTACAAAAAAATAAAAATGGAAAAAATGGAGGTATATGTTTTTGATGTGACACCAACAGAATGAGTCAGCTGTGTTGCTTCAGTGAAATTCAGATTTAGTTGAAAAGTGTTTGCTTGTTCAGTGCATGTTTCCCTATGGATGGCATCATCTTTTTGCATATTGAACATTTCACCCTTCTTTTACTTAGTGCTACACTATGTAAGATCTGGGATTTGGAGACTCTCTGGTGGAAAGGTGTAATTGCATGTAATTGGACCCCTTCCCCAAGCAGATGAATCTGACGATTGCGAGCGTGTTGAAAGTATTCAAAGAGAACTCAGTCAAAACTTGGTGAAGGACGTGTCGTCTGGAATGTAAGTGAATTATGTACTATTGTCATCATATCTTCATCATCATCAGCAGCAGCATAATGTTGATTTTGCATTTAAGATCTAAACATCAGCCTGGAGCTTCTTTTTGAGGCTGTGTGTGTGACGTTAACACATAAAGGTGTACGACGTAGTTCCAAAAGCTCCTGCAAAATCCTCAGTAATGCGACTTCTTTCACTTTTAACCCAAACCTTTAACCCAATCTTACGTGGTGCAGCTTTAAACTCTGTGTGATGTCTTTCCCCCAGCCTGCCTTTCCTTGTGTATGAGCCTGTCTTCTACTCTTTGGTTAACCGTGTAGCCTCATTATTGCTAGCAGTAAGAGCAAGTTCATGTATGCCTGTTCTGTGGACTGGATACTACTTTACACTTAGTAATAAATTACTCTCTGCATAGTACAGACATACATAATGCATATTTTCAATGGGTGTACTTAACTTTTTTGGCTTTTCAGAAGACAATTTTGTCACTCAAAAAACCCATTTCAGTTGTGTGGAATTACTGTTCTCTCTGAAGAGCTATTTTGAGTATAACAATGTGTCACAATAATTTTGCTTGTTCATACAAAATCATCATTTATATAACGTAAATTTTTAATATTACAATCTAGACATCAAGAGGTATATTAAGAACATACTTATTAAACTATAAATTCTGTACTGTAATGATCTATGTGCAGTACTTTTTGTCAATTATCTTCTTTTTAAAATACAAGACATTCTGGATGATGTTATACAGCTTCCACAATCATTTTAGAATCTGCTCTGTCCATCATTCTGGATACATTGAAAATGTATTATCTTGTTTTTAAACTAAGTTTGTTTTTTTGTTTTTTTTTACAGCTTCTTAGATTCCTGTTAATTATTTGAAAACTGTAAAATTTGCAAATGACTAATATATTTGAAAAACAACTTTAATTTAAAACTGTTGAAAACATTGAATCCAAACTTTTGAACAGTTGTGTATACTGCAGAGTGCTCAGTGACTGACCTGTACCAATCTCCTCCACTTTTGACTCATGGTGGGCGGGGGTAGACGGGCAGTGGGCGGGATCTGGTAGTGCCAGTGCTTTGGATGGGCTGGCAGTAGGAGTGTTCTGCGCCTAAAGAAGAAATAATTAATTAGATTTTCTATTATCAAAGAGGAATAAAGGATTGTTTTTACAGGTAATAACTTGCAAAGGCAACGTTTTTTAAAGATGTTGGTAGAAATCATTGGACTCATTCAACTGAATAATTCAACTGTGAAGATGGACAAGAAAGACAAACCTGAATGAATTTATCCACTTTCATGTCTTCTAACGACGGATACAGTGACATGGTTGCTATCCTGTCTCAGGTGCACTGGATCAGTTACCTGAAATGAGCACACACACACACACACACACACACACACACACATACACAGACACACACACACATGCACACACACACACAGTGTAGCTCTGCAGCAGTGACCCAGAACACACCTATAACTCCAGTAATGATCACTCAGAGCAAACACTATAACATGGCCGTTACTAACACTGACACACAGTGCATCCAAAATATGTACTTACTGACCACATGATTAGGTTAACTTATTACACTTAATAAGATGGTTCTTCAAGGGTTATATAGTAAAGGGAATGGTTCTGTTTAGAAGCATGAGTTCTATATAGAACCAGTTCATGCTTAAATGGTTCTTTGCATGGTGCAATTGTTCTTCAGATTGATAGAGAATGTGTTGTACATGGTTCTATATAGAACCAAATGGATTTTCCTATTGCTAAGCTTGACATTGTAACGATAGCAGAACCCTTTTTGGTGCTATATAGAACCATTTTCAAATACAACACATTTTCACCACGCAAAGGACCACTTAAGCATGAAATGGTTATATATAGAACTCACGGTTCTAAACAAAACCATTGCCTTTACTGAGAAACCCTTGAAGAACCATCTTTTTTAGGTGTTTATGTTGTATCTACACTCACTGACCATTTTTGCAGGTCCACTTACTACCATGTCAGTGTCACCGCAGTGCTGAGACTGATCCACCACCCAAATAATACGTCTTGTGGGGGTCCTGACCATTGAAGAACAGGGTAAAAGGGGGCTAACAACGTATGCAGAGAAACAGATGGACTACAGTCTGTAACTGTGGAACTACAAAGTGTTCCTATATGGTAAGTGGAGCTGATGAAATACATAGTACCTAATAAAGTGGTCAGTGAGCGTCCACTCCGCAGTGAAGGTGAACCCTGTTTGTTTGGATGCTGAGAGCTGAGCACGCGGCATACGTCATCACTTCGACGAAATAAAAACATCCTGATTACAATTTACAGGTTTAAAACGCTCGCAGAGCCTCACAAGCGCTCTGCTAATGTCATGCACGTTATTAAAGCGCGTCTGTTCCACGAGGGGGGCAAAATCGCGCGTGCGTTTTTAGGATCTGGTAAACATACGGACACCTTGAAGCCGCAGACAGCGCGAGACAACCGCAGCCGCAGCCCAAGTCTCAGCACAGTCCAGCAACACGAGCGCTTTGCAGACACGCGGTCAGAACCAGCACAGCTTCCAGCCAAATATACCAGCCTTTCAGTGCGTCGAGGCGGCGGATGAACTGGCTCTGAGTGATGTGCTGAGACCTGCAGTGTCCAGAGACGACGCTGCAGTCACTGCGGTCAGCATCCGCCCAGCGATGTGAGGACTCACCCTGGTGTTTCCACACGGCGTGAAGAAGATGCTGACTGAGCTCCACCGCTTTGTTTCAGAACGACCCTCACCACCGTGTCTCGGTCTTCTTTCTGTGAGGCAGATGACGAGCAGAGCGCGCGCTCACCGTCTGTGTGAAGTCACGAACCAGCGCGTCCTCATTTGCCTACAAGCAACACACACGATCTCGTATTGCCGTCTTTTTGGGGACGTTTCGCTGTGTCCTCATTTCTAGAGCAAAATACAACTTTTCCCCCGCAAACCTACTCCTCCCCTTAACCTCTGTGTTGGGTCGTCTTGTTTTTTTTCCGATAAAAGTTTTATCTGACATTATGTTCCCTTAATTTCAGATTTTTCACCACATAGTGGGGACATGTGAGCTGACACTTGATCACGGGGAACATAAGTCCTCAAAAAGAGGGTAAAACGGAGGTGTAGGGCACACACAAACATTGCTTTTCTTTTTCTACGTTATGTTTAATGGTGGTAACTTTAGAACAGCTTGTTTGTAATTATTATAAATTTAACCATAGACAGTCCGACTAAATCATCTTTATGTTACAATAGCTGAAAGTTCATTGTGAGATCAGGTTTATACCCTTCGTCACGAGGCCTTAATGCAGGCAGCAGGTGCATTACTGCCATCTAATGGCAATATACATTGTTTAGAGCTTTGTATTAGAATATTGTCTTGGACACAAACTGGACACTTCCATTAAGTACAACTCCTTTTTTCTACACTCATTGTCCATTTTATCAGCTCCACTTACACTTTGAAGGTCTATGATTACAGACTGTAGTCCATCTCTTTCTCTGCATACTTTGTTAGCCCCCCTTTACCCTGTTCTTCAATGGACAGGACCCCACAGAGCAGGTATTATTTGGGTGGTGGATCATTTTCAGCTTTGCAGTGATACTGACATGGTCATGGTGTGTTAGTGTGTCTTTGTTGCACTGGCACAAGTGGATCTGCTGGAGTTTTTAAACACCTCAGTGTCACTGCTGGACTGAGAATAGTTCACCAACCAAAACTATCCAGCCAACTGCGTCCTGCGACCACTGATGAAAGACTAGAGGATGACCAACATGAACTGCGCAGCAACAGATGAGCTACAGTCTCTGACTGGGTAGGTAGTCTAATAGAGTGGACAGTGAGTGGACACGGTGTTTAAAAACCCCAGCATCACTGCTGTGTCTGATCCACTTGTACCAGAGCAACACACACTAACACACCACCACTTAGTCAGTGTCACTGCAGTGCTGAGAATGATCCACCACCAAATGATACCTTCTCTGTGGTGGTCCTGTGGGGGTCGTTACCATTGTGGGACAGGGTGAAAGGAGGCTAACAAAGTATGCAGAGAAACAGACGGACTACACTCTGTAATTGTAGAACTACAATGTGCATCTATATGGTAAATGGAGCTGATAAAATGGGTAAAGAGGGTGGATACAAAATAAGCGTACTTAATTAAGTGACCAGTACGTGTAGTCCCATGGTCAAATATAGTAGTGTGGTTATTGTGGTTATTTAGCTTCCACTAAAAAACTAGTTTTACCACAGCACGTTGCTGAGATACTGTTTATTTCTTTATTTCATGACAATGAAGACAAGTAATTATAATGTTCTACTGAATTATAAAGTCACCAATTGACATAATACAAATAACAGAAAAACTGTTCGAAAGCAAAGAAAAACAAAACAAAGAAAGTAATTTTGTACCCCTGAATTTAAGAAGATTTAAGTATGAGCTGTACACCTGTTAGTAGATATACATTTTTTGAGAAATGTGTTTTACTTCAAGAAATGTGTTTTACTTAAATAAGCATTACATCAATAGATGCACAAATATGCAGTACATAAAACATACATCACCCTTTCAGACCATCAGCAAATTTCCAGACTTCCAAACATGCACACACATTGCTATTACTATGAAATTATTGCATTTTGAATCACAACAACTTGTTCACAAGCATATCTTTCTAAAAAAGGTAAAATAATCATACACAAAATATCATACACACAACACGTATTATCAAACTCAAAGGTCAGCCTGTTAGCTTTACATTTTATTGGGTGGACCATATAGCAATCATACAACTTTTACATGTAGGCCTATCATTTCATGCACTGTAAGCATTTAGTTGTTTCTTGTCTAACTGTGTGTTGTTGCCTCATTAGTTTCTGCCCTATTTGGTACATTGTTAAGAAGCAAGAACACACTGCCGAGTTTGTAGAGTTCTGGGACAAATTGTAATAAGCAGATGAGAACAAGATGTAGCAAAGTGATGGAAAGAGGAAGTGTGGAGAGAAAAGGAATTGCTCATGGTCCGTAGCATACCTCTTCATCTGTGTCAAATCAGTGCATGTGACTGCCAATGACACGGCCTCACTTGTCTTGGCTGCCAACTGCGGAAGCAGGTATTTTGATTAAAACTGCTCAGCCCCAACCAAATGCCTCAAAACGCAGTTGAGGGCCCTTCAGGGCAACGACCCGAAAACATACTGCTAAAGCAACTGCAGACTTTTTCAGGGACAAAAAGTGCAATGTTATTGATTGGCTAAGTCAGTCACCTGACCTGAACCTCATTTATCTTGCATTTCATTTACTGAAGACACGTCTGACAGCAGAAAGCTCCTCAAGGTAAGCAGGAAAATGGCTGCAATCCAGGCCTGGCAGACCATCATAAGTGAAGATACACAGTGTATGGCTCTCAGACTGACAGCGTTATTCAGTTGCAAAGTAGTAAACATGACTGCTTAAGTAAATTTGTCCCATTACTTATGAAATGGTTGGGCTGTGTAAAAAAATGCTAAATTCTCATATTCACTCAACAGAGTGAAGCTGACATTCTCCACTTTAGCTTCATAGAGTTCATTTTTAATTGTATGTACAGAGCCAAATACAACAAAGTTTAGTCACTGTCCAATTCTACATACAGAAACAAAATATTCAGATAGCACCTGCACTGATTTTAGGCCAGATCACTCACGAAGGACAGTGGTACCAAAAATGTGTGGATTCCAACTTACACTATATGGCCTAAAGTATGTGGACACCCCTCCTAATTGCAGAGTTCAGGTGTTTCAGCCAGGTGTATAGATTCAAGCACATAACCATACTGTCTCCACAGACAAACAATGGCACTAGAACCAGTTGCATTAAGGAGCTCAGTGACTTTGAACATGGCACTGTCATAAGATACCACTTTTGCCACAAGGCAGTCTGTGAAATTTCTGCCCTGCTAGATCTGCCCCGGTCAACTGTAAGTCCAATTTTTGTGTAATATATATATATCAGTTATTTGCTTAAATTTTCACAGCTGGATGGAATCCTGCCATAATCTCAACATTATTGCCCTTGCTTTGCCTCTCAGTTTGCTCTTTCTTCTGTGTATGTCTCTCTGTACCTGTCTGCTTTAGCTCTGTATCTAACTAGCACGTCTTGCTCAGGTGGTAGAACACCAAGGCCAGCGCGGGTAGTGTCTGGTAACAATCTGGAGTCGGGGTCACTCAGGTGTAAGTCATAGTACCAGAGTACTACTGTGAGGAATTGCTTTATCTCATTCAAGGCGAAGAAACGGCCTGGACACTTGCTGGCACCAGAACCAAATGGCATTAGGTAGTTCTTCAGCTGCCGCCCGTTTTTGAAGAACTGGCTCCGCCTTTCGCCTGACTCATCCAAAAAGCGGTTGTACCTGAACTCCTACAATTGGGAGAGAGACAATAAGGAATGAATCATCACTGCCATCTTCACTCATCACAGTGTCGTTAAAATATCAATGTCGTATAAAATATCAATGATGCAGAACAACTGTATCTCAGCATCTCAGATAACACTGTATCAAAAGTAATTTTAAAATCAAAGGGTTTCATCCCACCAAAATGGATAAACTGTGTAACAGCTGAAGTTTAATGAAAAACACATTTTCAAATGTGGTGATCGAATCTCACTCATCAATGATGAAAATGAAAAGAGATCACAACTTGTAGTTAGTATTGTCTAGGAATGCCAGCCGGTGCCAAGCACTCACTGGATCCCTGCCCACAGTGTCAACAGCCGGCTATGCTCCCTATATTCATGGGCTCCTCTACTGTGTGGCAAATGAGGATATCCGGTCAAAACACACCTAGGTGGAACAGAGGTTTCTTGGTACAACATGATTTCTAAGGGAAGTACCACATCAACAGCGAAAAGTTCTTTTTAATCCAGCGTTTACATTCTACATATGTGTGCATGCCGCTAAAATACTACCTGCAGTGTTTTAGAAAATACCTGCCTCTGGTTCTAACAACTCATTCTTTACATCCTCTTACTCAAAAAAACAAGACCCCACCTGATGTCAAATGTTATGGCTAGACTTTCCATAGAAAGGGGTATAGTCATGTGCTCTTGAGTTTTTTTAATTAAATGTTATTTGCATCAACCAGTTATTCAGTTTAATCTGCTTAGTGCAAAAAATGGAGGAAAAAATTAATTAAACCAACAGTTAAAAAAGAAAACAATTAGCAAACAAGAACTAGAAGTGATGGTGGAGGAAACAGCCAACAGGAAAAGCCTTAATCTATATTAACAGTTATATCTTGTGAAACACATTAGAAGTTACACTTGTTGAGGCTTGTCAGTTCTTACAATCTAAGATGAATCTGAGCCTGTCAGGAGGACAAGAAAATATTTTTTAACTATCAAGAATTCATGATTGTGAATCCTGGCCAAGAGTTATTCACTCGCTGCTTGGGTGGAGAGCAAAAACCAGCACCTTCAAAACAGAAGAGCAGGTGCCTTCCCCTAACTTTCCACAACTTTCCTCTCTTTTGAGTTCACCTTTCTTTGTTTTGGAATTTGACAGATTAATGATGACCTTGAAGCTAAATATTAAGGAGGGAGGAGGGAGTACTTGATGACTCAACACTGAATCAGGTATTAGTCACTGGGTTGACTGACGCTGAACTCTGCTGATATGTGCATGAGCATTTTGCAGTTGAGAAATCGCTGTTTAATTGTGAAGGCCTGAAACAGTTACCATGGGTTGGGGGTAGATGTCAGGGTCCAGGTGGATGAGCTGGGGGTAGAGGGCAATGTAGTCTCCTTTTCTAATGGCTGCTGTTTTCCCAGAGTCCAGTGTGAGAGTGAAGTCATTATTGGCAACACGTATCATAATAGAGGCACTGGACAGACGAAGGGCTTCCTTGATTATACTCTCTGCAACAGAAATGCGTAACAATAGTAACATTTATATCCGCTTTGGGAGTGATTTTTCCTGTGCAAAAGTCTACACACTTAGTCAGTTCACATTCTAAATTCCGGCTCAGTCCAATAGTCTGTAACACGTTTTGTTGTTTCCTTAATACTGTTAAATAATTTGAGCAAGTTTTTTTTTTTTTATACAGTATACCTCCACATCTCTGCTACAAATAAAAACAGTTTCCTGCACTTATCGTTTATAAAAAGTTGAAAATGGCAGGAGAGCAAATGTCACAACTAACCCCAAATGCGGGGTTCATTGTGGCAGATTAAGGGACAATTCAAGTCAGTAAAATATTTTGTAAATCAATATAAATCACAATTCATCCAATTTAGCCATATGTTGTCTGAACCTGTCAAATTTGCTTCTCGCACAAAATAGAAGAGCAAATATCAGCACAATAACACTAAAGATATTTTATTTACATGACATCTATAGCACATTTTTAATGAATATGTGCATAAAAACCTACTGTTTTGAATTCATATTGGGGAATATGGATTTCTCTGATTGTTTACTGTAGGAGGCTTCAGCCCCACCCTCACATACAGCATCTGCGTGGCGTGAGCGCCGCAGAAAGTCAAGTTTTTCATTTCGGCGCTCATGTTACGTGGTCAGCACTTTCACACAGGCTGCGTGTGCGAAGCGGCAGAGCGTCCCAGACGCTGCACAAAACTTAAAACAATACAAACTTAAAAACGCTCTTTTTAAATGTAATTTAATTTATGATGAAATACTAATTAAACATTCCGTGTTGCAAACAGATTTCCCGGTTCATCTACCAGACTTGAAAATTTTGCCTAATCACTAGTCAGAATGCTGTCGAGGACAAACAACTATAACCTGTACTTTCATAAATGATATTTTTATTGAGCAGAGTGACTGATGTGACCATTTATCTGTCTGGAAAAATGAATGTCTGTAGAACTGTCTCACTGTATGAAAGGCCAGTGCGTTCAAGCTGTAGCGCTCACGCTGCCCTGACGCTCACCCCACGCAGAAGCAGTATGTGTGAATAAGGTCTCGCTGTAACGCTTGCGAATTGTTTATATGCTTTAAAATGTGCTTTAAGAGAATGATTCAAAAAATAAAGTGTGAATTTCATGACTTTTACTCACAACTCAGTAACCACTAGTGATAAAAAGTTACTTTCATATATCTACTTATCATATATCAAATATCTGTCCAATTGCTATCTGTCCATCACAGTTCACATAAGATGTTGCTGTGGCGATATGAGAATATAACTAAAAGCACATCCAACTAAATGTCTATGTTAAATTTTACCCGTGTTTGTTTGTGTCTTGCTCTATTTCAACAAAATCATCTTCTATCCCTAAAATGGTAACTTTAAACATGTCATACATTAATATAAGATTTAAAAAATTGTTATTATTTATTTAGAACAAGAAGTTATTGGAGCATTTCTATTAGACCGATCTTGAAGTGTTCATGCAATGCAAAAAGCCACAGCTATGTGGAAAGAATGAAAAAAAAAAAATCAGAGGTTTTGATATGACATTATGTTGTTCCATACAAGTGTTTTACCAAAGGTTTATCATCTCAGTTGCTCGTCTTCATTTTCAGCGCCCTGAACCTCGTGCCTTGCCACTTTCGCTTTGCTCTTTTCCAGCATTATCTAGGAATGCCAGACGATGCCAAGCACTCTTTGGATCCCTGCCTACACAGTGTCAGCAGCCGGCTATGCTCACTTTGTTCATGGGCTCCTTTATTCGGTGGCAATCAAGGAAATCCATTCGAACCACATAATCAGGTGGAAGAGAAGTTCCATGGGACATCAAATGACCTCTAAAGAAAGTACCACACTGAAAGCGAAAAGTTTCTTTACATTTTGAATCCAGTGTTTACAGTCTTCATATGTGTACGTGCCGGTAAATGACTTCTTGCAATGTTTTAGAAAATCCCTGCTTGTGGTTTTAATGACTCATATTATACTTCCTCTTAGTGACGAAAAGACTCCATCTGATGTTAAACATTATGGCTAGACTTTCCACAGACACCCTAATCTTAAGGCTGAATGTTTTCATTAAGGCAGTGCTGTAATACTGAAACTGAAATTGTTCGATCTGAAAGTTACCACATCACAATTTTTTATTGTTCTTTGACATTTTGTAAAAGAAAAACACCAAACTGGTGTTAACTGAGCTACCTTCAAATGTAAACTATTTTTGGATGTTCTTCAGAAAACGTAACAATGAAAAGCGTTATAATAATTCAGGGTTTCTGTCATTTTGAAACAAAATCCTAAAACACACACTGTAGTTGAAAAAATTGATTTTATCATTGCAGAATAATTGATGGGTGTTTCATTAAAGAATCATTTTTTCAAATGGTGTAAGACTCTGGTCACCATGTATACCACAACATAATATATTTTTTCTTCATACATTAAAAAACATAGATTGATAGAAATACATTGCCGCTGTTCAAAAAAACCATGTATCTCCATTTTTTCATTTTTACTTTTCTAATCATTTAAGCACAGCAGATGTAATTTACAGTGTATGAAAAACTCATGATGAATGAACCAATAGAAATACTCCAAAATTGCTTAGAATCAAATTTCTTTACATTGACTTGCATCAAATTTAAGAAGGTTTTTGCTCTCTCTGGCAAAGTTACCTGTAAAAGTAAAGTTCCTGTAAAGATATTTGCTTTTCTTCGACAATGACAATATCAGTTTCAGTATCAACATCATTGGCTTTTGAAATCAGAACAGTTGAGCAGTTCTACCATGTTCGCATACACCAAAACTACAAACAGCAGGATTTAGCCTTTAAACCAAGTAGACTTCAAAAATGTAATACCACACTATATTGTGTTACTAAAATACTTTAAAAATACAACCCTAATTCCAAAAACACTATGTAAAATGTAAATAAATGTAAACAAAAACAGAATGCAATGATTTGCAAATCTCATAGACCCATATTCTATTCATGATAGAACACAGAACACAAATGAGATCAGAAAGTGAGACATTTTACCATTTCATCAAAAACATTAACTCGTTTAGAACTTGATGGCAGCAACGCGTTTCAAAAAAGTTTGGACAGGGCCGTGTCTACCATTGTGTAGCATCCCCTCTTCTTTTAACAACAGTCTGTAAATGTTTGGGAAGTGAGGAGACCAATTGCTGGAGTTTTAGGAAAGGAATGTTGTCCCATTCTTGTCTGATGTATGATTCTAGCTCTTCAACAGTCCTGGGTCTTCTTTGCCGGATTTTTCATTTAATGATGCGCCAAATGTTTTCTATTGGTGAAAGGTCTGGACTGCAGGCAGGCCAGTTCAGCACCTGGACTCTTCTTCTGCAAAGCCATGCTGTTGTATGTGGTTTAGCATTGTCTTGCTGAAATATGCAAGGCCTTCCCTGAAAGAGATGCTGTCTGGATGGGAGCATATGTTGTTCTAAAACCTCTGTATACTGTTCAGCATTAATAGTGCCTTTCCAGATGTGTAAGCTGCCCACGCCATAGGCAGTAATGCAACTCCATACCATCAGAGATGCAGGCTTTTGAACTGTGCGCTGATAACAAGCTAAGTGGTCCCTCTCCTCGAGTCCACAGAACTCTGCCTCTCTAAAATGCTCTTTTTATACCCAGTCATGTGAGTTAGTTGCAAATTGCTCCTCCAGTTTTTATTAGTACCACTTACTTTTCCAGCCTTTTGTTGCCCCTGTCCCAACTTTTTTGAGATGCGTTGCTGCCATTCATGAAACTTTCAACATCTGATATGTGTTCTGTGTTCTATTGTGAATAAAATATGGGTCTATGAGATTTGCAAATCATTGCATTCTGTTTTCGTTTACATTTATTTACATTTTACACAGCGTCCCAACTTTTTTGGAATTGGGGTTGTAGAATTTTAAAAGGAAATACCTTTAATAACCTATATATATTATAAAAATATGTTAATGATTAGGCGAGAGGGTGGGGACCCACAGGTCATATTTTGGGGATCCTTGCTGTATAACATTGGAAAAGCTGAATGATTTGCAGATACATAATTATTTTGCACAAATAAAAGATTGGAAACAGATTTACACTTGTACATTTTGTTAGTAAGCTGTTGGTTGATTTATCATCCCGTGAACACTGTCCAGCTTAGTCAGCTGAAGATGCTGACAATACTACTTTAAAAACTTTTTAAAAGCTGTATTTGAATGAGAGGGCTACAATCACAGATTGTCCTATTTTAATTGGCTCACTTGCAGTCCTGTAGTCCTCAGTTGTGCATGCCCATGAGAGCTATGTAGGGTGACTTATTTCTCATTTTAGTGTTAATCGGAGGGGATGGTTTTGTTTAAAGCATTTTTAGATATTCAGATATTCGGGTGTAAGATAAAATGAACTTGTTTATTAATTTAATATGTCACTGAGCTGCATTATGCTTATAATCTGAATTGTGCCATTTAAATATATTTCAACAAACAGATAATATAGACTGATAACATAATTCTAGCTCTACCTAATAAGTGACATAAGCAGCAAAAACTTCTGGGTACCATTATGGTATCTATCATTATTACTGTACCATTATGTTTTCTAAGACGCTCGAATGAGGGGAAAAAAGGCAACGGATTTGCCTCAAGAAATGTAAAAGAAAGGAGAGTAAAAGAAGACGAGGTGTAAAATCTTAAAAATAAAGGTATGTTTTTTTGCGGTGTTAACATTATGCTATTTGTTTTGGCTTGTAGTTGGATAACAAGAAGTAAAAGATCTGGGATCTGTCTAACGTAGCAAGTTGGATCGTCAGCAACACACAAACTAACCAGTTATAAATGTATATAATTTAGACAGCATGTGTTAGTTATTGTTATTAATTAGCCTCTAATTTTATAGTACATCAGCTAGCAAGATGAAGGGGCCACCAAAAAGCTAGAGGCAGCCCTGAACACTGATAACTTAATCTCAGTGGGTACAGCACATGCAGAGCCTGCACATCTGTCTCAAACACAATATCTCTTTCCCTTCAGGCTTCCACATCTGTTTCAAACACACACAATGTCTCCTGCATGTTAATGATGTCATATATATACAGGCTTCAAATTGGACAGCTGGTTATAAAGTTCAAACTAAGAAAAAGCATTACCAGCATTTAAAACTTATAATTTATTGCATTAACTAGTTATTAACTAGTTATTAATGCATTGGCTTTGATAATATTAATAGTGATCAAATATTTGTATACACTTTTATCCAGAATATTTCTATTTACCAGTATCTGTCAATCATAGGACCTACCTAGCACAGTCATGGAGTCCAGCTGCTGTTTGGAGAGGCTGATTGGCATGTCATGGTCATTCATTGGCTGGTCTAACTCCTGCAAGACCTTGTCCACTTCAGTACGAGCTGCAGCAAGAGCTTCTGGACATCTGACAGTCAGAAGACATGCAAGCACAGATGATAAACATTAAAGCAAAGGTCACTGAAAAAAAATACCCTAAATGTAGTCAAACAGCCAAGACGTGTTAGGTTATTTTGCACTGGAGCTATGAGGCTAACATAGCTAACAAGTAATGGAAGCCTATACCCACCAATTAGCACCATGCAAGCCTAAACCATCACACACTTGCCTTAAAAACAATGTCAACTTACATGGTTTAAGATGAGTGCATGATCATTTAGGGATGCTGCTTGTTGGGCTGACCTGAATAACCTAAAACTTAAGTATTCATTTGCTAAGCTGGTATTTATTTCTCTATTTAGTGTTCAGCAGCTTTGTTTTTTTTTAAATCCACAAAAGTTGTAGCATATAAACTACAATACATTCCATTATCAAAGGCCTTTAAGACAGGGCATTAAAAATGGTAACAACAGATAAATTATAGCCGGTTAAGTTGAATGCTTCATAAATTCATGCTAGTCACCTCGCCTCAGGATAAACCACACCACATTTTCACATGACCACTCAAGCTACAAAAGTAAAGATGCCTCATGAAGAAATGACATTTTCGAGTGATTTAAATAATCAGATGATAAGAAACATGCTCAGTGAAATCTGTGATAAGAATTTGATATACCACAGACGCACGACAAGCTTAATTCATCATCTCAAATATGCAAGTTTAGTGATCTTATCCAAGAACCATTTGGTAGGCTATATGACACATGTAAGTGTAGAGTAAATGAGGCACAAGCGACCGCGTGTCTAGTCCACACTGTCTGAACTCTGCCCCATAGGCACTTCAGGCAAAAACATCAGCTCTTTTTTCTTTTCTAATTTAACAGCTTTTGTAGCATGTTTATTATTTGACAGCACAAACAGCAGATCTGGTTTTTGCCATGAAATCTGAAACTACTAAGTCACTAAAATCATAGCATTTGAAAGGGCCCACATCCTAGATTTTTCTTGTTTTTTATTTTTCTTTCCCTGGGGTCCACTTTTAATGTTTGCATTGATGTATGTACCAAAAACACTAATAATTCACTTTGACATGAACCATTTTCCAAACTCTCTTTAAACTTACACTGTTTTTGTTACCGTGCCTTTAAGACTGACATATGATAAATTTACTCTTTCCTGGTTGGCTACCCTGTATTGTGCCTCACTTAAAGAGCAGTCTGGCATGAAGCACTCCCTATAACCTCAGCATGTACTCATGTAGGCTGAATAGAAGAATATGCATAAATGTGTTCATTTGTCATGACATGACAAAACCAATGAATTCAAAGTGGGCTGTTTTTGCAGCCAAGTTTCTGTATATGGACAGTATGGGGGAGTAAATGTAACAATGTTTACATACTACATCAAATGTTTTATTCCAGAAAATCCATGCAAGTGAAAATAACAAACGTGGCACCTACAAAAACACAACAGGTGGTGAGGTTGGGATGTGTTAATGGACGCAAGATGCATGTTTAGCGTCCAGTATGAAATGGAATATTGATATTTTTATCAGACGTACGACTAAGAATGTTTCAAATATTTTTGTTTTTAAGGGTGACTTTGAGAACAACTATCTGGGTCCTTGTTCAGAAATACCAGTGAGTATTCAAAGCCTGTAAAATGCTGTTCAGGCCAGCCCAACAGTTGGCACTACGCTAACCTGTGCCTAGTTTCTCAAAAGGATCTTAGCGTTAAGATCATTTTACATGGGAGACAGTGTTCAGTGTGATGCTTGTTCTACCATTTAAGAATCATCTTTGTGCTAAGACGCTTTTGGGAAACCAAGCCCTGGTGACTATTAGCTTCTGCTTCTTGTTAGCTATGCTAGCCTTTAGCTCCAGTGCAAAACTAAAGAAGCAAAGTTCAAACACCAAACATGTCTCGGCTGACTGGCTACATTTGGGTTGAGGGGGAAATTGTATAAATGTGCAAACAGTACATTTGTGACTTGCATTTTGTGGCTTTTGAATATATATGAATGCATGTAACTTTGCCACCTCAGAGTATAGTAGAGGCTCCAAAAGGCAGTTGGCAGCGTGTTGGCCTGCGATGCCCAAAGCATGCATACATGTGTGCGTGCTTTCCCCATTTCATCCAAGTGCATGCGATCAAATGCGTTCATCCTAAGCTGAATCAGATCTGAAATGCACATCCTTTGATGAAGTTCACCATGCAGCAGTTTCTCCGCTAACGCTTCCCTTGCCCGCAATGCAGGTACACATAATGTGATGGGCATGCCTGCTGCCATCAAAGGAAATGCCCGGTCAAAAGTAAAAAAATCTTGCTTTGCCTTCTTCATGCATGTATCCACAGCTCCTGCACCGCCTGCCTGAACTCCATTCTTCCTGCCAAACAGTGTGAGGTACCCAGCCTCAAACATGATTCGGCTGGTGAAACTCTGCAACCCTTCCTCCTTCCAACTCCTCTCGCTTGGCAGGCGCCGCCCTAAAACTGTCTGCAGATTATCTAGCATGGACTCTGATAGCTGCTCAAGGGGCAGGCCTTGCAGTGTTTGCGTGAAGATAGAGTGGATCTTCGCATAGCTTTCACTGTACACTGGGGTTGTGAAATCAGCATGACCAAATACCTGCAAGATATGGGATCAGTGATGGGGTTAGGATAGTAAGCCAAACTGACATTTGAAAATCATAAATAAAAAACCACTTTCCAGTTTCATTCAAAGAACCGAATAATGTGCTACACTGAAAGTTGCACTGAAGAGGCTATTTAGCACAAGGAGTGCATAACTCAGCAGCATTTTGGTTTAGGTGTGGCAGCAACAATCAAATACAGCATACGTGCACTTGCTGAACTCACGTAATTTATCTCATAAAATTCCAAAACACATGGGCGAGTGCTTGTTTGGAGTAAAAAGTCTACTGATTCCGATGTTATAAAAAAAAGTCTGCTGATTCCGAACATGATGACTTTTTGCCACATTGCTCACGCCTGCTCTCTCTAGAAGCAACATTTAAATCAGTAGAAGTATTTCCTTCTATTGTGAATAAGCACTTCCTGTGCTCACCCTGTGCTCATACAGCACCCCTGAAGTGAGAGAGAGAGAGAGAGAAAGAGAGATGGAAAAAGAGCAAGAAAGAGAAAGAGAGGTGTATATTGGACTTGATCCCATCGGTGAGGCACATATTCGGGTCAAAGCTGAGGCAGTAAGATAGAGGAGGTTGTTTAAGGTGATCATTAACTTGCAGATAAACATTCTCGAGAGCGGCACATAGAACTTTTCATTCACACTGTTTTCAAACCTGTGTCCTTACCCGATGAGAGAAGCCCATGGCAAATTCATGAAAGTCGAGGTTTCGGCCCTGACGCATCACCACAGAGAAAGAAAACGGGTCTGTGATGAAGGTCAAGTACTTCCCCGCGATCCTACATGTAAAGATGTCTCCATACTTTTGCTGAGTTGCTCGGAGGAAGCTCAGTGGGTTTTTGGCATAGTCCAGCATAACACCAAAAAACGGCAGCCATCCTTTCACTAGTCGAGGTTCTCCCTGCTGCCTGCAGATACACACATACATACATACACACAGCTTGTATTTAAAATATAAAATTAACTTCCTTCTGTTTCAATTTCCAGTTTTGTTTCACTTATCATAAAGAATGAAGATACAGTAGGGTGCAAAAGAGACCCTTCATTTATTTAATTTCCATTTATATTGCTATTATTTCCTATTATGTTTATTGTGCAGGTGGTATGTGTTTGTACCCAGAAGATTCTGTCCCACCTATTTCTTTGTCAGTCCCTATATGGGCATATCTGTCATACACCTGTCACTCGTCATGTATAGAGTGGACCTGTACATGCAGGCTGGTCTGAATGTGGGTACTTGTGTGCAAGAAATAAAGACTGATTCCTCCAGACACAAGGCCAGTATACTGATTTGTAAAGGATTCTTCATCTGGTGCCATTACCTGGATTGGACCTTTCATTACTATGCTGTAGATGAGTGGCCCATTTAAAACAAACCTGAAATCAGCATATAGCCTCTTGATTTATTGTCACACTGGATGAACAGCATTAGTTTTTTTAGTTTTAGTTTTAGTTTTGTAAACATATGGACTCATCCGGTTACCATTAAAAGAAATTGCCATCATTCAGATAAAATATGGTCCTTAGAAGAGCGTGAGAAAGCCCTAGGATATGCAATATAGAAAGATGCACATGTCCCTAGGTGACTTGGGGGGGTCTGAGTGCAAACGCTATGAGCAAGAAATAACATGCTAGAAATAACTAGAACTGACATGTTAGAGTCAGAATATAAAAAAATGCAACAACAACAACATCAGACTACTTTGCAGGAGGAAAAGTTAAAGCCAAGTCAGACTGCAGTCCCCTGTAAATCAACACCAAGTAGCCCAAAAATGGATGTCAGGGTAGTGAGTCAGAATCAGATTCTGATGACAGAAATGAACTACCTAAATTGCATTGCACTCTGCTCAATGGACAGTAACACATTTAGCCACAAGGAGAGTACGTATAAAAGACCAACATATACCCCTTAGTCCAGAACAGCTTGATAAGTAAGGATTTTAAACCCCCTTTAGGTTATGGGTACCATCCCTTTCATCAGCATGTTGCACCATAAACAATGATTATGTAACTAACATCTGTGGATGAGGTGTTAATTTTATTCCAACATATCGCTAAAAGAGAGGTACAAGAATTGCATGATGAGCCAATAACAGATGAATATTTTAGATGAGAACAGGAAAGTAATTGAGGCTTTTATGAAAGACCTTGGATCAGATTTTAGTTCCTGGTCTACAATAGCTGCGTGCAAACAGCTTGGCTATTGTTATACCAACCTGTACCTGCTTTTATGACTCAGTTCCATGAATGTTTCCTAGCACATTCCGGACTCACGGAGCAACATGATGACACTTCAGACAGAAGGCCAGTCTCCTGATTTATGGAGGGTTTGGATTCTTAAGGGATGTTTTTTCACACCTCCAAAGTTTAGTCTTTAAAGTTGGTTAAATTTTCTGTTTCTCACGATCCAAATAATCCCAAACACGTTTAAGGATGTTGGGATCTGGACTGGTGGTCAGTCCATTGTTCTGAGAACACCAGCAGCTTCTTACATTAATTTACTTTTTTATTTTCTTCTTTTTTTCTTTTTTCAGTCTCATAGCGTTGAGCTGTGTTCTCACAGTGGAAGGATAAACAGAAACATGTGGATTTTTTCATATCTGAAGCAAGAGTGGAGCTTGATTTTTTTCCTCTCTCTTGAAAAGAAAGCTTTAAGTGCTGTTTATCTGATGATGACAGTATTGGTGGTCTAGCAGGTTTTGCACAGTTGTTAGGAGCTCCATTTTCTTGATATCTGTTAATCTGTTCATTTTTTGACCTCCAGTTTTGGACACTCCTGTTTTTCCACTTACTTTATGTTGACTTTCCCATTCCCTATGCAAGTATATTATTTTATATCTAATCTCCACTGAAAAAAAAACTCCTGAAAATGAATACTCTTTCACATAATTACCATTTTGACTGGAAATCCTAAACAAAGGGTGGTCTCTGATTTTTGCACAGTACTGTAGGTGTTTGTAACACACTGCCTGAATCGACATAAACACAAACTAGATAAGCAAACGTGAATGCATGCAAATGTGCATGCTGAATAGCTTTTAAAAAGTCTGTTAAGTAAAAACACTATAAAGATTGCAATCTCGGGAAGTTGTCATATGGCTTTGATTTCTAGATGCTCGTTAGCATTGCCTGAATCTACTGCATCACCAAAACGGATTCCCTCCTGGCTTCTGTTTTAAAATACAAGTCAGATCACTTTCGTTAAGTCATGGTAAGTGTAAATGACACACCTTATGACACGGCAGACTTAAATGTGTCTCAACGAAGGAAGCTTTACTGAGTCATTTGGATATAGCTAGAGGGGAATATGTGGGAGGCAGATGTTACTGAGTATTGCTACATGTCAGCATAAGCATTCTTATTCCTGGGCCTTTGGGCATGACGTACGATTTCACTATCTAAGATTTTCTCACGAAAGTGAATCAGATCCAGATGTGTTTGGCAGCTGGAAATGAGTGAAATCCAGGAATATGTTCCCACACAGGCTTGGGAAAATTCAGCAGAAAGCCTGATGCATTCTGAGTCACTGATTAAAAACTGTATCGAAAAAAAAAAAAAAAAAAAAAAACTTAAAATGTGTGATTTATTCAGTTTCTTTGAACTTAAAGGTAAGAATGTGTATTTTATTTTGCTTTTAGCTGTGCTGAAATACACCAAGGAAAGAATCTATCTATCTACCTGTCTGTCTGTCCGTATGAATATCAGTCTGTCTATCTATCCATCTGTCTGTTGGTCTAACTAACTATCTATCTGTCTGTATATCTGTCTACCCCTCTATCTATCTATCTATCTCTCTATCTAACTATCTGTCTGTCTTTCTGCATGTCTTTCTATAGATCTATCTACCTGTCTATCTATCTACCTGTCTGTCTGACTGTATGTTCTATCTGCCTGTCTGTACATCTATTTACCTGTCTGTCTGACTGTATGTATGTCTGCCTGTCTGTCTGTCTTTCTGCCAGTCTTTCTTTTTTTCTGTCTTTCTTTCTGCATGTCTTTCTATATCTATCTACCTGTTTGTCTGACTGTATGTCTGTCTGTCTTTCTGTTTGTCTTTTTATCTATCTACCTATCTGTCTGTCTTTCTTTCTGTCTATCTATCTATCTATCTATCTATCTATCTATCTCTCTATCTATCTGTCTGTCTTTCTGCCTGTCTTTCTATCTATCTATCTATCTATCTATCTATCTATCTATCTATCTATCTAATTATATGTCTGTCTGTCTATCTAACTATCCGCCTGTCTTTCTATCTATCCTCTTGTTTCGCCAAACCAGTTAACAGTGCGCTTTCAGAATTGAGCTGAGTTCTCAAACTACCAAGGGAACAATTTCCCGTTACAAGCTCTTTATTTATTTATTTTTTTTAGAAGAGATTGCTTCATACCAGGAGGTAAAATCCTCTCGGGGAATCCCACTCTCTCCAGCTAACTCTAAAATTAAATCTCTGCTCTGAAATGCAGGCACAGGCTGGATCTACTTCTACTTTTACAGCGTTAGGTTTTTAAAGAAAGTTCTTCAGAAAGGTTCAGTTTTTTGAAGCGTTCTTATAAACTCTCGCACTGCTGTGAAATTCAGAGCCAGTCTGAGCCTTTTCTAATTGCAGGGTGTTGAACTCACCATCTCCTCGGCGCTCCGCAGACTCTCAGCAGTAAGAAAGAAACTCCAGCGGCCAGAAAGCCAGCAGCGAGCAGCCATGCAGCCATGACTACCAGTACAGACGCCCTCCGTTTACTCCGCTCTCTGTCCCACTCTGGACCTCCACTCGCCACACTTCCAGCAGTCAGCGCGAATATACCTCTTTTCTTCAGTGTTCTACAAGCCCCGCCCTCCTGCGCTACGATTGGCTCATAGCTCATGAACAGCACACCCACGGCAAAGAACGTATGATTATCCTAGAGGTTGACGCTATAAAAAGACTCCAGAAAACTGTTATGTAATGAAAAAATGAGTACATTTTAAAATGGCTTAAGTGTAAAACTCCAGCAGTGTTGCCTACTTGTCCTCACTGGGTATTTGACACACTGTACATTTTAGTCATTTAACAATGAATTTTAATCTCTCAAATCAGCTGAGTGAGGTTACTTAACATGAATATCAAGCTTAAATAACTCTGTATTGGACTTTGAGTCCTTAACTGAGAGATCTATGCTTCTCCATAAGTAATGTTAACTTGAGCTGCCTGAGCATTTAGAATCTTACTAATTTAAGTTGAACATTTCTAAACTTACTCAGCAAGTAATGTTAACTCCACAGTCCTAAGCATTTAACCAGTTAGAACTCAACACTATTCTGCTCTTTCTATCATTAAATCAGTGAGGTTAACTTAAATAAAAATGTCATCATATTGAAAGGATGCTGAATATTGCTGAAATTAAATTGTTTTAACATTTCATGTATTGAAACACACAATACACACCATTAACAGACATTTACTTAATGATCCTTAAATATCAATTGATCAAGTTATAACAAAATGTTATTGACATAATGTTAGAGTACTGACATAATGGTGTAATGTTAGAGTACTGACATAATGATGTAATGTTAGAGTACTGACATAATGGTGTAATGTTAGAGTACTGACATAATGGCATAATGTTAGAGTACTGATACAATGATGTAATGTTAGAGTACTGACATAATGGCGTAATGTTAGAGTACTGACATAATGGCGTAATGTTAGAGTACTGATACAATGATGTAATGTTAGAGTACTGACATAATGGCGTAATGTTAGAGTATTGAAATAATGATGTAATGTTAGAGTACTGATATAATGATGTAATGTTAGAGTATTGAAATAATGATGTAATGTTAGAGTACTGATATAATGATGTAATGTTAGAGTACTGATATAAAGATGTAATGTTAGAGTATTAATGTAATGTTAGAGTATTGATGTAATGTTATAGTACTGATGTAATGTTAGAGTACTGATATAATGATGTAATGTTAAAGTGTTGATGTAATGTTAGAGTATTGATGTAATGTTAGAGTATTGATGTAATGGTAGTGTATGGAAATAATTATGTCATGTTAGAGTGTTGATGTAATGATAGAGTATGGAAATAATTATGTAATGTTAGCGTATTGATGCAATGACGTAGTGTAAAAGTAGCATTGAAACCACCTCCTTGTTCTATACTCATTGTCCATTTTGTCTGCAACAGATGAGCTACATTGTTGGTGGACCAACAAGGTAGGTGTGTCTGACAGAGTGGACAGTGAGTGAACACAGTGTCTAAAAACTCCAGCAGCACTGCTTTGTCTGATCCACTCATGTCAGCACAACTCACACTTACACGCCAAAACCACGTTTGTGTCATTGCAGTGGTAAGAATGATCCACCACCCAAATAATATCTGCTCTGTGGTGGTCCTGTGGGGGTCCTGACCATTGAGGAACAGGGTGAAAGAGGGCTAACAAAGTATACAGAGAAACAAATGGACTACAGTCTGTAATTGTAGAACTACAAAGTGCTTCTGTATGGTGAGTGGAGCTGATAAAAAGGACAGTCAATGTAGATACAATCAGGTGGTTTCAACGTTGTGGCTGATTGGTGTATACACTCATATATAAGCCTGGACACAGTCCTGGAGTCTCCCAACACATAATAATGAACCTACTGTTTTTCCTGAATATACAAGTTGTTACATGTCATGAAAGCCGCTCATTTTATCTATCTATCTATCTGTCTGTCTGTCTGTTCAAAAGTTTTGAGCAGCCCTGGTCACATTGTCTGTTTTGTTGATTTTCTTAGTGAAAATAAGTTACACATCCATTTTTTTATTGTGTCAAAATTTATTACATGTCATGAAAGCGGCTCATTCTTTGATCTGTAAGGTGTAAAAAAACACATGCCATGCTCACAAAGCAGCTTACCCATTAAAAACATCAACGCGCCATAACTTTAATCAGATTCTCTATGAAACAGAGCAAAATCAGATTACCGAGGTTCAGGGATATGTTTGCCAAACAAAAACTCCCAGCCCTTCTAAAAACTATAAGTAAGAATGTTAAATGTTAAGCACTTTTACAAATCTAGACTGTATACAACCCTCTTAAGTTTATGTTGCTGGTGTTGTTGGATAATTAGCTCTCAACTCCTGTCTTAAAGAAGAAGTGAAATCAGTTTTGTTACAAAAGCTAGAATGAAGTAACTCAACCAACTGTCATCTCAACTGAAACAAATGAAAGAGCTTAAGGTTACTTGGGCCATAAATTGAGAAAACTCAGAGATGTAGAGTAATTACTCATTTCCGGTTGCTTAGGCTGTTTAAGATCAACATCAAACTTAAAGTTGTTCAAACATTGAACTTATTATGGCACTTTATTCAGTTGCTACAAGCCAATGAGGTTGCATGATTTTTAAATGAAAAATAGCTGAATAAATTTACAGTGTATTTTGACATGATCCATTTAAAAATGTTAATGCCTTGATCTGAATTCACCTGCACTCCACCAAACCTGCTCATACTGAATGGATTTCAATAGCAAGTCCAGGGCAGTCCAGGGCAAGTTAAGACAAGCAGAGACACACACACCTTACTCTAACAGAACAACATCTAAAGTAGAAAACATTAATCTACTCGCTTAAAGGCAGAAAACTAAATCACAACAATCTGGTTACAGATTACTTTCATAATCTATTTCTGTTCTACATACAGGCCTATAATATGTAAATATTTACCACTTGCACTGATGTATAAGTCTACTGCAGGTTTAATTAGTTCTGTGAACTAATTACAATGATCTGTAAAATGTATATGGTTTTCTTCTGTATTCCTTCAATTTCAACTTATTTAAATGGCAAGGAGTCACCAGCAGGTCCAGGCTTGTATTCCTCACTCCTATAATAAAAGAACAACTCAGCCAATTGACATTGCTTTTCATGTAATTACTAAACAACAAGCCTTAAGGTGTAATAAGGCTTGTAATTTAATGGGTTAATAAAGGCTATCTATCTATCTATCTATCTATCTATCTATCTATCTATCTATCTATCTATCTATCTATCTATCTATCTGTCTGTCTGTCTGTCTGTCTGTCTGTTCAAAAGTTTTAGCAGCCCTGGTCACATTGTCTGTTTTGTTGATTTTCTTAGTGAAAATAAGTTACACATCTTCTACAGTGAACACACTTGTGCACATTTTATTAAACAGTTAATGCTTTTTTGATGAAAGAAACGGTGCCCTGAAATTTAGAAAATTAGAAATTAGAAAATCAACTAGACATGTAATTTCACCAGGAGTGTTCAAAGCGTCGCACATGACTGCATGTTTACATCATATTGGCTATTTTTATTGTGATTCAAGATGACCTGCATTACTACACACTTCTATAACCTAAGAATAACTCAGCTATTTTGCGTAGTAGTTCATGTAATGAGTGAATAATAAATCTTAGTGTGTCATGAGTCCGGGATTTCAAGGGGTTAAGATGTAGTCATTCAGAATGGTCTGAAGTTCCCAGAGTCAGAATTAGTCATAGCCGGGTGATGGGAACCAGATGTGTAACGCACTTAATGTCTCAAAAAGCCATATTTAACCTTCTTACATGAAATATTAACAGATACATTGATTGATGCCCAAGACATTACTTTACGACAGTTTTGAGATCATGTTTTGGTCCAAAACCTATTTTTTATTTTCATTCTTGTAAGGCAAAATAGTTCCTGCCCCAAAACACTTGTTTTTCCCGATTCCCAGTATTTCGCCATTATCAACATTACATGTAAATTCTCAGGAAATATATTTTCACTGCCAGGACAAAACCTCCTATCTCCATTTTTGTTGTTTTTCTTTTTTTGACATCAGTTGAAATCGCCAGCTGTCTTTTTTATTGTGTCAAAATTTGAAATGCTCCAAAATGACTTGGAATAAAATGACTTTCTGAAGATAAAAGGTATTGTTCCGACTGTGATGATATGTATGTTCACTGGTTATGATGGATAGTAAACAAAATGGCTATATTTGTGTTGTAGATATCATGACCCCTGGTTCCTATCACCACCACTGTAAAAAAGTCTGAGTCATTAAGTTTCTGTGCAATGAAGAATTTTACATGAAACCACTCAGAATGACATTGTTTGCAGTTTACTGAATTAATTATGCTGACATTTTCAAAAAATGTGTGGAATTTCCCTTTGATTAGCATACATTCAACAATTGATGTTGTCTGTTTTAGCACACCTTGTGCTGAAAATGACAATAAATATGGTTTTCCCATAATAGTAGTTCAATGTGTAATGTCTTTTGCCCGCCTTCGAAACATTTTCTGACTACATTTTCTAGACCAGCGTTCTAGAAAACGCTGTTTCACTTCCCCCCTCCCACCACCCCCACATATGGTCAAGTGAAACACTCAGCTAATTTAGAGACCCTTGCTGCCAACCTGTTTCACTCAGAAATACATCACAGTATGGAAGGAAATGTCATCATTTTCAATGCACACTCATTTCAACTACACCCACGTGAATGTGTCTACTTAAGAACCCACTATATTGTTTTTAACAAATCTGTTTTGAGAGTGTTCATACAGGTTGACACACTCAAACACACAATCATTTGAGAACCTCCAATGAAAAATCATTGAATAACATCAATGAGTAACCATTCCACTATTTTTTGGATTATCAGTTATTTTGTTTTCTGTTTTATTTGGTACAACTTTTTACATTAAAAAGCCAAACTATGCTATGTTTACATTTTAGTGACATTCATTTTAAATACAGGGCATCAAACAATGTCATAGTGTGCTTATATGATTTTTACAAAGTATCACATATACTGTTT